TTCTTAAACTCTATTTATTGTGCCACCGTAAGTTGAGACTGGCGCCAGTGGTAAAAATCCCCACAGGTAGGAATGGAATGTTGGACTTCATCCATCGTTCACACTTACTTATTTTAAAGGAGGTCTAAATCGTAGTATGGGTGAGGAGTATTTTCTAGTGCCTTCCCGTGCGCGTTCTCACCACTGACATTACCCTCAGCTTTCGCCGAAATGAAATTTATGTTGCGTGCTTCCAAAAAGGTATTTATTGTCGCCTTGCGAGAGCACTTCCATGTTTTCCAAAGTGAGTCACGATGCGTCCAACACCGGTGAGTGGAAAGGTCATTTGCATTGTGATAGATGAAAGGGCTGATGAACTCTCAGTTCTCAAGATGGATTACGTTGGAAACGGTGGTTCAGCCAAACAGCTCTGGGAAATGAACATCCTTGAAGTTCTGAATTAACATTGAGAGAAGGATTCGCAATGTTTTTGACACCTATGTAATTGAAAATCAACGGCTTTTATGCTAATTTAGTAACGATTTCCTTCTGGGGCTTGAAATTCGCACCTTAAAGTCGATTTTTTAAATTATAAACTTCCTGACGAATCAATTATATATTCATGTTTATTCCATTAATTCCGGTTGGACATTTTCCGCCGACATATTGTCGATCGGAAACAAGAACCGCTAATTATGCCCCTTCATCATTTATTGTATATCGCTCCTCCCATTCCAGCAATGACCATGCCATTCTACCGTGATACCATCTCGATTGCCCTGCAATTGCAATGTGGAATGCGCGCTTTTTTTTTGGAAAGGCAGAGCCCCCCCCAACTCAATACGTGAGGAGACAGTCGGGAGATGACCTCCTCTGCTCACGCACCGAATATCCTGATGATGATGGTCATCGCTTCTGAAAAAATTATTCGGAAAAATCTGCGCTCCGGATTTATGACACTGTGTCCCTCATGCCGATTGAACGCATTGTTGGGTCTTCGTCGATTTCCATGGGGTGTTATTTGTCGGTGTTGTTACAGAATCATACAGTACAAGATAATTATTCATCAACTTAGGATACGACGATGCTTTATCGGATCGCTTTTCGACCAATATTTGTGGTATCAGTTAATACCCAGAAATCCATAATTTTTCCCTTCCCATATCGAATATATTTTCTGTCGTTTGAAAATTGTATGCCTATTTGTTTCATCTCAGCTTCATCATCTTTTGGAATAAATTTTGTAATTGGAATGAACAATATGGCTGTCACGTATTAGCCTAGACCTGGAGTTGTTTAATACTGACATTGGGTATAGGAAAGACCCTCAAATCACTGTTAATTGATCTGATATCCACTTGAAAGCACAGTAATGTTCAAGTCGTTCGCCTCTCGAGTTCAAAAAAATTTCAGTGCCAGGTCGCCTAGAGGTGAAGAAGATAGGCCTCACTTGCATTTAATCGAATCTGTGAAGCCTGTCACTCGTTTCCATGAGATTCACCGAATGTCGATGTCTTCGGCTCAAAGCGCTTTAATTAAATCTCCATGGAAACGTGGCATATCTCGTCTTCTCAGTTTTCGGATAGTTCCTCTATAGCAGGGGTCGGGAACCTTTTTGGCTATGTGAGCCACTTTAAGATTGAGCTTGTGAGCAAAAAATTTTCAGAGCAACCGAATTTTTCCTGAATTTGGCAACAGATATGCATTCTTTGATACAAGAGAAAAAATGAGAAACAACCATGATTTTTAGCCATGACTCAATGAGCCAAACTTTTCAGCTCGTGAGCCATAGGTTCCCGACCCCTGCTCTATAGGATCCTCTATGAGGATTTCTCCGGAAGAAGGGCGTTAGTGCCATGCTCCTTTTTTCCATATTCTTGCTGATGTACTGCTTTAGGATACTTGCAATAAGATAGAGTGATCTTGAAGTGGTCTCAAATGTGTTTGGAGCAAGGGAGAAACAATTTCCCCGTGCTCCCTCTAGAATTTCAGTGGTTCTCAACTTTTTTTTTGTGTCGCGAGCCATCAAGCCCTTTTCCCATATTTATGCGACCCACAAATTCAGTAAAGTCCAGAACTAATGTAGCCGTGTGGCATGAAAAAAAGTAATTGAATTTTTAAATTAAGCTTTCAATATATTGCTCTGGGCGCAGGTGATTCCTTCATTATTCCTTTCTGTTTCGTTACCACTTCGATCTTCCGCTGAAAGAACTCGACTGGTTTATCCTTCAATGTTGGATGATTTCAATCTAAATGCCGCTTCAATTTTGAAGGCTTCACAGATGCATTCGTCAGCAGTTCACCACTAACTATGTATTCTGGTTGCATACTTTCTAACACTGTGAAACAACCCAAAGGTATGATTCATTATTCTTCCGGATTAGTACTAGTTTTGGCTTTTTTGCTGGAGGGAAGCCGACATCTGTCCCAGTGACTTAATCAGGGGCGCTACCGTTAGTGCCAGCACTTGTTCTCGTTTTATAAAGAAACGTTCCATCTGCATTTGAATATTAATTCTAAATAAATAACTGCAGGAAATTATGGATTAGATGAACTTCGTAAACCTCAAAAATAGAGTGAAGGAAATATATCAGTTCAGGTAGCGGAGAAACGAAATCGAGAAAATAAATTTCGGCTTCTGCTCACAAAAAACAGCATCGCCCCTAACCACAGCTCCAAGGAACCATAGGGAATGCTGGAACTGACTGGAGATGAAGGTTAAGAGCAAGAATGATTTAAAAGACATTTTAAAGCTGTTTGCGCTTTCTTGGAACAGTTTGCCAGCAAGCCTTCTATTTGTGCTGTCTTCAAATCTGGATTAGTAGATTAGATCGTTCCTGGAAAGTTAAGCTCATGTAACATTGCCATGTATGTAATATTCGCTTTGGCGCTTATGAATGGTCTTTGTCTCCGCTAATATCTCTTTAACTTTAATTCATTTCATTCCCTCGCGACTCACCCGGAAGACCATTGCGACCCACTAGTGGGTCGAGACCCACCGGTTGAGAACCAGTGCGCTAGATAGTTGGCACGTGTCCAACTGTCTCGCTATTGCCGCTTGCAGGGAGGAAAGGGGAAGAAGAATGACCTGTCATTCAAACCTGTGCGAGGATGCCTGAAGGAAAAAAAAAGAAAGAATAGTGGTGGTGCTTATGCGAGGAGGACCGGGATTGCCATGAAAGCTTTTTTAAGTGCTCGTATTTTCCTAGTCTTTCTTCGATGAATTTTTTTTTTTTCAACCAAGAGATTTGTTGAGAAGTAAATTATTATTTTTTAAGTGACAAATGACGTCTGAGAGAATGGCTGAAAAGTTCTGATAGTGTGGATATGGAAAAAGGACGTGTGTACACGAACAGTTTCCATTCTGACAACTCGTAAGAAATTATTAGTTTAAGCCTAAAGTTTAAATAAGGAGCAGCCTTGGATACCATGTCACTGAGAACTGGATTTAGATTTACCGCAGAAGAGTTTTGAGGAGGTTTTGCAGCTTTCTTATACTGTGCCTTTTGCACATGAACCCTTTTCCAGAGAACTCTTCAAATGTTTCCTATGCTCCGCAATGAAGGATGATGGGGGCTGGGATCGTGACGCAAGAAGTCAGATCGATGCCTAATCTGCCTAATCTTAGGACGTGTTAATTTCGAGGATAGTCGACCCGTAACGAACATCCAAGCATGAAACCGAAGCCGATCTTTCGTTATATGGGACAAGCAGTTAGATAAGAAAAAGAAAAGAAGAGAAAAGGTCTTTTATCCTGGGGTCGCGGATCAATCGACCGTGATGCCGATCGTGATCCGTGGTTTTCTTCACGGGTTTCTGACTGCCCTTTCATTAACTGGGAAGTCTCCACCCGATTCTACAAACAAGCACTATCAGTCCCGTTCATTAGAGAACTTCCCCCCCCCCCCCTTTTTTCATCTTAAGTCTTTGTTTTGTAAGTTAAAGGTTCTGCGTTGTTTCTGGTTACATCCTATTTTGAACATTTCCATTACAGTGTGGTACTTATTCCGTGAAAATTACAGAACAGTTACCTGATGCGGGTTCTTTCTTTCTTCTGAAGAAACACAGCCGTGATTTTTTTTCTTTCCAAACGAAAGGGTATTGGGCAACGAGTCGTACCGGTAGCCTCGTTTCCAACCTAATTTTCCAGCCAACTGATCCCTGAGTCACGAAACGGATTCGACGGCATGAAACGGCAAATTGTCTCCAGAATTGATGAGGTGATGGGGGTAGGTAAGATACATTCATTGCCCCCGATGGCGATCAATCGGGGTCGCGAAGTGGAGGCACCTCTTGCTTCAACTCGACATGGAATGATCCTTTGCTCTCCGATCTTGTGATCAGAGTCCCGGATCAAATGAACTTAAGGAAACAGGACGTGAGAAGAGAAACAGTGGGAGATTATATCTCCCATTCATTCTTAATTGGTACGAGTTTCTAATCCTAGAAAGGTTTCCGTCTGGCATGGATGGTTAGATGTTGGCGAAGGGAGGGAAGGAAGATTCTTGGATTCCAGTTGAATGGGAGGAACAAAAGCGAGAAAAGAACGGTCTTCTTCCCGTATGTCTTTTCGTACTTTTTTTTTTTTTATCCGGGTCATTGCTTTGTTTTTTCTTGCTTTTCTCTTCGCTTCTCCTTGCGGTTTTACATCCCGCTAAATCCTGGTCCGAAACGACCTCCGTGCATGCTCCCACTCGCTATGGACTTCATTGGAGAGAAAAGAGTAACCCTGAGAAAGATATCTCGATGAAACCGTTCTCTCGTATAGTAAGGATATAGGACAAACTTATCAAAGAATGTGTGCCGAATGGATCACCTTTTCCAATGCTCACAGATGGGGAGACCTGAATGCACGGGTGCGAAAGGTTACTGGGGCTTTATCCGACTTTATCGCTTCTTCGAGATCATATGAACAGGAGGAAAAGTCCCTTCCACGAAATATCTCGCTTCATTGCAGCCTTCTTGTTTATCAGATCGGAAGTCCACGGGTCATGTTGTTTTTGTTATTGATGTAGAGCTGGATGGAGAAGGAGGCCGGGAAGGTTGTGGTGTATACGACGAACCTGGGCGTGATTCGTCGCACGTATCAGGAATGTATGAAGGTGAAAAACATTCTTCGGACCTTGTTGGTGAAATTCGAGGAGAGGGACATATATCTGAATCCGGAAGTTCAGACGGAATTGAGGGAACGCCTGGAGATTCCAGACTCCAATTCCATCTCCGTTCCTCACGTCTACGTCGAAGGACAATGGCTTGCTGTACGTTCAATCCATTCCTTCTCTCTTTCCTCGTTCCTTCTAGACGGAATCTAAGCGATTCGGGAATTTGATTTTTTTTTTTTTCGGCCGGCTTCTCCAAATTCTCTGTGGTCAGAGGGAGGCGAGACTGGAGAGGTATTGAATAAACCCTGGGGCTCGGACCGAGTGAAAGTCTTTTAGCATTGCTTCGTTTTTCTATACCTCCCTCCGAGCAATCATTTCCTGTCTTTTCTGTTTCCTTCCCACGAACAGAAATTTCGTGAATCCGTGACGGCATTTTTCGCGCTGTTTTTCTCTCTTCCGTCTAAGTTTCTCTCGACAAAAACGGCTTGGTCAACAACGGCAAAGAATCGACCTTTTACGGTTGAGGATTTCTCCTCCATTATTGGAAGTTGAGACTCGGATTGCAGGCTTGAGGTGTTGAAACGACGGTCCTTGCATTGTACCCTGCACTTACGCTCCGTTTGCCCAGTGAAACTCTTTCGTTTCGAAATTCCAGCAACTTCCTTTAGGATCCAGGCGGGTAATCTTGGGATAGGCGCAAAACTGTGATTCGTCGTTGGATGTGGGACATTTCCCACACTCGACGTGTGAGTAGAGACAAGAGTTACCAATGACCCCTTCATCGATGTGGGAAAGATGGGTAATCTCTCCCCCCCCCCCTTGTGACCGACTTCACACCTATTCGCTGAAAGCTTCGCCGAAATCCATGTCAGCACAAAAACACCAATTAACTCTAATTACTTCAATGAATTCTTCGCAAGAGGAGCTCTCCTTGAAAGCCAGCAGTCGTCATCATCCACGCAGTTTCGCTCGTACGAACGAGACACACTTGGATGAACTGCGAAGCTTTTTCAATCACGTAGGGTCTCACACTGTGAAGTCTCAAAGAAAATTCAAGCCAGGGATCGGTTTCTTCACGCCCGACTGAATTTGGAAAGAATTTCACCGTCTTGCATTGTCAAAAATTCGAAAACCAAATCCGAAAACCCCAGCTGGTGGGAATGTCGATGTGCTAACGTTTGGAGAGGAAATGTCGTCATAGACGGAAGAGAAAGTGAAAACGCAGTCTGGAGACAGGAGAGAGAAAAACTTCTTAGTGGGTACGGTGACCCCAGCAGCGATAGAATAGAATGAGAGATCATCATCTATCTTCCCCTTCCTTCCTCATGGCTGGATCATGGTGATCATTATTTTCAGGCAACCCTTTCCTGAGGCCGTTGAATATTCAACACCTTTGCATGCATCATCATCTTCATCGTGTACCTTTCGTAACGTTCCCGACGTCGTATGACGTAAGAAAGCCACATTATGTCCATTACGCTTTCCTGTGGGGGTCTCGTAAATAGACCGCATGTTTTATTATTTTTCTCACGCGGAATGAAATTCATAGTTTGAGGACTCGAAATGGTGACTTAATGCAACATCTTCTGATGCAATGACATTCTCTTGCTTAACCTCGTGAATGCACTGAGTGAACGACAACATTAACGTCAACAACGAATACGCTGTCGGTATGAAGAAATTGCATTATTACCATAATAACTTCCTCCAGATTTCCAAGTTTTCGAAGATTTTTCTGCAACAAGGACAGGAAGCGTGAGAAACATGTGTAAGAACGGATTGAATGAATGAATGAAGACTGTTTCGCTTGGACTCATCCGGAAATTGATTAAAGTGTTTTCTCGCGCCACGTGTTGATGTGGGACACGACAGATGCCGACCAAAGAAACAAAACACCTCTCCTCGTTCGTCCCCATTCTCTGATCTTTGTCGACCACTGACCTATAAGTATCTCTCTTCCATTCCTATTATGTCGTCATGGTGTCGTGATTCCATCGATATAATCCACGATGATGGATTGACCGATTGAGGAAAAAGTACCGTGAGAATCCAGGCCGTCATGATCGTGTGTTTCGTTCATCGACATCATGGGAACGTGAAAATTGTATCCTCTTTAATCCATACCGTTCCCATATTTATGTTCCGTCTGATATTTTAAAAACATATAGTATCCATTGCTTATTTTTCTGAATTGAGATTCCTGTTGCCGATGAAGGCATATATAAAGGCAAATGCACCTCTAATAATAATATTAATGTCATTCCGAATGGTGCATCCCCTTACAGAGCCCATGGAGAGGAAAACATTCTAACTAGGAACGCGGTCGGGATTCAAGGGAGGGGATATCAGTCTTTTCTCTCCTAATCTGAATTCCTAGGCTTTTTTCCTTCCCTCTCTCCTACCTGAGGTTTTCTAACCGGCTCATTACCTCGGCTTTTGATGAAGATGAAATTGCTGGCTTTTAAGTTCCGTCTCCGGTCGAGATCATGCAAGAAATGCGTTTCATTAAGTCGTGGGAGTGGGAAAAGAGGAAGTATCGTGTGCATAAGAAAGAAGAGAGAGAGGAATGATCTGAAAATAGTGGCCAGTCAGCAGAGCCTTCAGAGCTCTTTTCTCTCTCTCTCGCTTCTCAGGAAGTTCATGGAACCGTGACCCTTAAAGAAAAAAAAAAGACTCACGCGTCTCCGGCTGATGAACTCAACATCAGAGTAAAAGTTTAATTTTCTGTATCACGAGCTTCAGAAAAATATTTTCTATGCTGGATAAATCCCTGCCTTATTTTATTCATCTGCCTCATGACCTCGCAGACCCTCGGGGATATAGGAGTCAAGACTAAAAAACGAAGCTCAGAGTGTTTCCAGATTTTTTTCCAGCTCGTTTCTTGCTCATCTCGTGTTTCTTCATCTCACCTTTTTCCATCTCTTTCGTCTAGGATGCGGATCTCCTCGAGAGACTCAACGAATCCGGCGAGCTTCGACGGATCCTCAGGCCATATAAGGTAGACGAGACTCATTGTCTGCCATCTCCTTTTTTTATATTTTACCTAATTCCCATGGGTATAGAGGGTAGAGAGAGGAATCATTCTCAGATACGGTTCGCTTCAGTTCAGACTGAGAGGGTGGATGAAGGTTCGCATGCATGGCCAAGAGCCCTGGTCCCTGGGCAATCCAGCTCATCGTCTTCAATCCGGAACTGATTGAGACCGTCCATGCCATGCCTCGTTCATTTCATTCCCTCAAGCCACCGTCTACACCCCCCATAAAATTTAAACTAACCATCCCAAGCAGTCATTATGTAGTAAATGTCATAAATTCGCATCAAGACGTCCTCTGTAGAAGACGTTCGGGTGAAGAAAATTATTAGATAGGCTTCCTTATTCCCAGCCGTAATTATTTTTTATTAGTTCACCTGTTTTTGGCATGTTTCAGAGGGTTGGAGAGGAGCGGGTGTGCACGAGATGTGGGGGATACCGAATGCTTCCATGCACAGTGTGCAATGGGAGCAAGAAATCCGTGCATCGAAGCCATCGCTCCATGGAATTCAGAACCCTCCGATGCATGCATTGTGATGCCTCCGGACTCATCCGATGCCCCGACTGCAACACCTAACTACACTTATAACCTTTTTAAACATTATTGAGGGCTACCTTTTCCTGTGTCATTTTTTGTTGTTGTTTGATTTGGTGTCGCATCGAGCCGTGTAGTCGGCCGTGCGTCTCATGCCCACGTCTTTCCCACGATAAAATGCTTCCTTCTGTATTATCCTTCAACCCTCAATCAGCTTCCATTCCCGTTTCTTTTGAGTTTCTGGCGAACATTTGTGTTTGAGTTTTCATCCAGATCTTTTTGGGGCTTGTCTCGCCGCTTCGACTGTCCATTTGTCCTGGACGTCTGTGCTTTCCTTTCTTTCTCTTTAGGGGAATAAACTCTCCTTATCGCCAATACAGAATCCGTGTTATTCAGCACATAGACTTAAAACTCCATGCAGGCGAATGTATAATAGACCGATGAGGGTGATGGGAAAATGAGACTCAAGGCCCTTCTCTGTATTTATCGTTCTGGGAGACATGTGAACGATTGTGGGTAGAAGGGGAAACCCGATATCTCGAGCTGCTTCCAGTCAGTGGCTCGGTAAGACTCGCATTTTTGTCCCAAGTGTTCCTTTCTCTCCTTACCCGTGAAGGAATCCGCTCATCCATTTATTTGACCATGCAGACATGCCGGTCTTTCCCCTATTATTTGCTCTTCCGTGAGTTCACACTGTTGATGACATCATCCTTTGTTGTCGTTTCTTTCTTCTCTCTTCCCCTGAGACAATTTTTTACCCTCCTCCTCTTTTCAACCCAGTAATTTCGTTGGGTTATTGTTTGGACGACTTGGAATCGTGTGATGGGAGCCAGGTGAGATTCGGCTGTAAGATCAGTCGAGGAGAATGCCTGTGCGAAGAAGGGTGCCCTCGGGATCTCCCATATAACTCCTCTCATCTCTGCACCCTTGATCTCGAAGGTACAACTATTTTTCGTGGTGCTCATGCCTCAACTGGCTACTGCATACTTGAAATAGTGCATACGCGCTGCTTGTAATTAAAAATGGACATAATTATGGAGAACATGTATCAAACGATCTTAACACATTGCGTACCGGACATTTTTACCCCGTCGATCCGCCGCTCTGACCTAAGCCTCAGTTACCTTAGCCTGAACCTCGATGCCTAAAAGGCTATGGGTGGATTTTTGAACAGAGCATTATCCGATAATGCTGCTTTATTTCAGAGAAAATGCATTGTAAATCCGGTAAATAAAGCTGCATTATCGGATAGTTCTCTGTTNCAGAGAAAATGCATTGTAAATCCGGTAAATAAAGCTGCATTATCGGATAGTTCTCTGTTCAAAAATCCACCCTATGACTTTTTCGGCCATAGGCTAAAGCAGGGGTGTCAAACTCAAACCGGTCGCCGGGCCGCATTCCTTACCCTGCAGATGCCTGCGGGCCGCACCCATAATATTTCACTGAAATTTGTACTGACACTCAATCCAAGGGGAGAATTTCAAAAACAGACGGCGGGCCGGATGAACCACCTCCGCGGACCGGATCCGGCCCGCGGGCCGTATGTTTGACACCCCTGGGCTAAAGGACTCAAAAACGGAGATCTCCGTGAGCGGTACGCAAAGTGTTAATGCCGTTCTCGATCTGGAAGGGCAGAAATTCTGTAATCTTCACCGATCCGTTAATTCTTACACTTCTCGGCCCCTTGATGGTTTTTGGAATTTTCTTGATGCTGTTGCAGCTTATCACAAGGATGTATGCATTCCGACTCCATGCAAGAACGGAGGAGTCTGTCTCCAGACTCGAAAGAAACCTGGATATAAATGCTTCTGCGTCGCTCTGGGATATTCTGGATTCACAGGCGAAAACTGCACAGAAAGTAAGACACTTGACCGCTTTGAAAAGGAGAACGTTAGATGAATTGGCTATGAACGTATTCATTTTGGGATGATCAACAGGGTGCCCCGAGCCGGAAGACACGACCGGCAATGAGACGATATCAAAGCCTATCCCCTTCGATTGCCTTCGAGTCTGAAGTATCGAAGTGAAAGTAAAACTTGCTTCCGTTCCCATGTGCCTTGAGGACCGCTTGGAGAAGGTGATAAGTCTGTCGTGGTTACGGTGTCCTGATTAGATTGTCATGTGGCATAGGCGGCAAGCCTACGCAGCATGGCGCTTCTCCGCTCTCTTCACTCTCAGTCGCAACGCCAGACGCGATTCCTTTTCCATTCACACCGTGCAGTATTCTCAGTCGAGGGATCTAGAAGTTAACCGGACCAAGTGAATTGAGACACAGGACATGGACTGCCAGGATCATATCCCGGCAGTTTATCACTGACGTATAATAGGAAGCAATATCGGAAAACTCTCCATGATTGGCTGACATAACGAAGTCCAATTTGCCATTACAGTGATCCCTGCCGCATCATACTCGTCTCTTGGTCATGTACATAAATCAGTATGCACGTTGTCAGAGTTGACTTAGGCTCTTTCCCGTTTAGTTTGAGTTTCCCTGCTCAGCAGTGTTGAGCCTGCTCTAATATTTTTTGCTTTTCTCTGTTCGATTAGCTTTTTGGCTCCTCAGTTTTGCAGTACTATTGTGTGTCTTCTCCGCAAGTGCATTTACTTTTCATTACGATACTAAATAAAATTCTATTGCAATGGGCGTGGGACTCATATATTATACGAAAACTAAATCCTTCATATATTTCTTATATGCTGATGTTTTCCACATGACTTGCTTAGAAGATTCGACGCCACCTACAATCGGCACTAAATTGCATCCAAACAAGTTGGACCTAACCGTAAGTCTGGTTTTGGTTATCAGGAATGAAAACTAGAGCTTCCATCGTATGCTGCTGACATCTTCAGGTGAAAACTTGAAACGATAAATCTTGTATCGAAATGCAGATGTCACTTCCATAACTGCTCCTGGCATCTGTAGAAGCAGAAGCTAACAACAGTTCTCGAGGGGCAAAATAGATAACAGGCCTGAACGGGAAATTCCTCGGAATTTGGGGGCTACGTGCACAGTGGCACGCTGCCCCACGTGTCTTCTGTCTGGTCGCCAAGGCCCTTTCAAAATGACGTCCATCAATTCTGATCCTAGCAGACGAAATTCTTTGTGACTCATTCGGACAGAGGTCGTTGACTGCATACTCTCTGGACGTTAGGTGCAGAAGTGCATTACCTCTCCCTCCATGATATCTGGCTATTTCACTGGTTGTCGTATCAGTTGGGCCCACATTTTCTGCCTCTTCTTTTCCATGAACTTTCCTTATACCCTACAAGTACTAAAGATCTAATGAGGAAATGTACGAGTTACCCTGTCGGTATCAACTGACAGATATGATAGGCTGTGGAGGACGAGAATGCTGAGGTTTATGTAATCGGCGAGCAGGCGCGCCAGGTTACATAACACGCGAGAAGGAACACATGCGGGTCCCCGACTCGACAGATCCGTTCCGTTGTTTGGTATAGAATGCGCATGCGTTATGCCTCGCTCCGCTCCGCCCCACTCCCCCATCCCACAATCCATGCCACGCTTGCTTCCCTTCCTTGTCCTCCTTCAGTGATCCTGAGGTGCAATACATTCCTTGGTCGCGTGTTTTCATTCTCTCCACACGATCCGGCATGATTCCCAGTTACCATCCTCTTAGTTCCATGGATTTCCACATAGGACACGTGAAACGAATCGAAGAGTGAAGGTAGCCTAGGATGCATGCTTTTAAGCCTACGTGTACCGGTGCTAGAAGCCCTAGTTACGTAAGGCGTCGTCCTGATGTCGACGGCGGCGTATTCAACGAACGTTAGTGACCGCGCCAGGCTGATCTTACAAATACATCGGAGGAAAAAGAAGCCTGGTCAGACGATGGGAGATGATGGCAACGAACCGGTCATCCGTTTATTCGAAGAGACGTTACGCACAGGCAAAGAACCTTCGACCGAAGATATTTGGAGATATGCAGGAGCCTTGACGAGGGTCGGTCGTATCCCCGAAGCCTTAGACGTGTTTGCCTATTGTGTTCGCCCACGATCCAATTCCCCCAATCTAACCCAATCCACGTGGCTGTCGGAACTGTTGGAGAAAATGGTGTCATGCTTGAACCACATCGAGATCGGGCCAAGACCCAATGCCAATAAGGAATCGAGTCCTACTCTAACCTCCGAGCAAGAATCTACGGAGCCGTCTGGGAAGAAGCGAACGTTATATCAACGCGAAAGAGAAAAGGGACCCACAGGGTGTTGTTTCGGATGCTGTGGTTGCGGGGGTGTCTTCTGTTACCCAGTGACTCTGTCCTGTGGTCACACCTTCTGCAAGCGATGTGTCCGATACAAGGAAGGACTTGGTTACAGTTGTTCAATGTGCGGACAGAAGCACACCTTTTCTTCCCAGCTCGTAGTCAGCGTCATCATCGCAGAACTCGTGGAGAAATTGTGGTCTAACGAAATGGAAGCTGCCAAATTAAGGACCGAAGGCAATGCCCTCTTTGAAGAGGGTAACTGTGAAGAAGCCCTCCGTAAATACGATGAGTCTGTCACTCTAGGTGAGTCCCTTCAGGCAAACGGATCATTTAGTATTTATTTAATGTTGGTGTGAATCGCGTCCCGTTTCCTGGTATGTAAGGGCAGTAAACCGATGAGGTTGATTATTCTCATGAGCCAAAGGTATCGCGGGACGCCACATGTAGACCTAAGCCTCTCTTCCCATCGTGCCAAACTGTATTAGTGTTTCCCCGTGAGTTTCGTCCATGCTACATATCGTTAGGCACAAGTAGCGAAGTGTGCCTCAGCCCTCCAAAAATAGTTTGAAGTAATTTGATACTCCATCTCAGCGCACCTCCCACCAGGGTTCATCAGAATGACGCGCCTATCAGGAAACACCATCTATATTATCAGCCCTGATAAGCCTCACAGATTTTGGCGAGAACCGGTATTCTCCGATAATGGAACTGCGACCTTTTTCTATTGCTCATGTCTTAACGTGCCTTCGATTGACTATCACCTAGTTGCCATGCATCGTGCGTTGTTGAATCGCTTCCTGCAAGTTTTTGTTCATGAGTAACAGCAGAGCATCAGGTTTGCGATATTTTTCCATCATCGAATATCTCCTGCACCTTCACCATTAGAGCTAACCCGGAAAGAAATTTCACTGCAGGATGCGCCATTCTTTCCTCCTGTATGGATGTACAGTATTTCTATTGGCACTAAAATATATCCCAAATTGCATGGTGTACCACTTTTTCCTGTCTAATTATTGCTTCAAAATCTGTAAGCGTTTATTTTTCAGCTTCGACTTGACTACCTACTCAGAGTTAATTTTTTTTCGAGAAATTAAATTTGTTATACCTTCCAGCAAATGCTCCTGATGATTTTCAAGTTTTTCTAACACTCCTTTTAACGAAAGATAGCCTTTTCATTATGAATAAGATATTACTCGTGTTGGTTCTTGAAGGTGGATAAGAGCTTCTGTAATAATAATGGAATGACAGGCGAAACTTCAATCGATTATTTCAGGCCTGAATCTCAACTTTAATCTGAGCCTTGATTCTTGATATATCACAGAATCACCATCATTTAATAGGGATCTCATTCAGTCTCGAATGCCGGATCTTAGAATAGGATTATAATTTCGGAAAGCAACCATGGATCTCTGTTTTATTTCCCTTACAAGCAAGTTATTTTAAGCAAAGAAGGATTAATCATACATATTTTTGAATCGGTAAACGCATATTGCCAACCACCCATAGTTCCAATTTGAAGATAAGGAGTTGAAAGATTCAGAATAAAATGGCAATCATCTGGACATTTCTCGGGAAAAAGTAAATTAAATGGCTATACTAATGACGATGATAATAATAATACAGCTCGTGGCATGATTGAAATCATTACCCCACGAATTCCGGTCTGATAGAAAATGGGAAGAACGTACTACTCAATTTTATAATCGCCCGTCTCTATGTCTAGTTTTTTGCACAGCACCAAATTTTCGGCGGTTCCCAAAGGTTCCCAAAGGGGCTTTCAACTTCCTAGCAATATGCAGAAAGAGTAGCTTGGCATTTCATAGTTCTTCAGTCGTCTTGACATTCCGAGCAGTCCTGGAATGTGGTGCGACGGGAAGGAGTTCTAACCAATTTCCGGCAATACAAGTCATTGGGATGGGTAAAGAGCATGGGTGGATTGCATGCAACTGACTTTAGCGTAATGAAGCTTTAAACTTCCATTAGCACCGTTAAAGGAGGTTTAAAGCTTTATTATGCTAGTCAGTTTTGTGCAATCCACCCCATTTCCCCGCATATGCCAATATGCAACGGATACGAAACTCATCGGAAAACGCTGTAGATCAAGTTAATTCGTTGATTCGTTTGACTACCCTGAAAGTGGTTTGGAGTTTTTCCTCTCTTGGGTTTGTTTCTGCAGGAGGCGCGCCTTGGAACGGTTGCCAGCCGTTTCTTACTTTATCACCAGATCCAATGACGAAAGGTGGAACATTGAAACAGGGGACCGCCTATAGCCAAAATCCGCACGAGTTTGAGAGTATGAGCGAGGATGAAAGTGAGTTGAATGGTAGCACTGATAGGTCTTTGGGGTGGACTAAACGCTGGCTTCTGTACTAGGCCTATAGCATTTAGGTTATATGCATGCATGTATATATGTGTGTGTGTTTGGAGAGAGGGCAACTACGGTGGCAGGTGTGCTTGGCACATGATTGATTTTCATGCAATGCAAAAAATCAATTCTATAGATAACTAGCGCCAGGGCCGTTTCTGGGGATGCTGGCGCCCAGGGCATGGGGGGGGGGGGGGGGGGCTGTCCTCGGGTTTCCTCTTGTTATGAGAAGTTAATCCTTGATGGGCTTGGAGGAGTAGGTCTTCACGGCGGGACCCCATTTTAAAGATAATTCCAGGTCTTACTTCATTTCAAGCGGAAATAGGTAAAAAGCGTTCAGAGAGGTTGTTTGAGCCAGGGGAGTGAACCGCGGTCAGGAACGATAGCAGTTTACGTCATCTAGCACTTCATAACATAGGCCGAGACTCCTGTTTGCGAATATACATATTCCCTCCATTTAGTAGGCAAGCTTTATTTTCAACTTTATTGCTACCCTTCTTTTTGAGTTGAAAATATGAAGTTGCTGGAATTTTTTTTATGTGAAGCTCCGGATGACGCATTGGTGTATAGCAACCGGTCATTGGCTTATCAGAGGCTGGGTCGGGCTGAGGAAGCGCTCAGAGATGCGGAATCGGCAGTCACTCTTCGACCCAAATGGGCCAAAGTAAGCTTTCATGACCACGGTGCTCCCTAAGGGAACCGTTTTACATTGCCCTTGTATTACCCGGACAACTGATGGCGATCTACCTTGGCACACCAAGACCATGTAAATCCGCATTCCTACCGTAGTGGTTGAAGTTTCACTCATAGCCACCAGATGGCTACGTAATGACAGGTGTTAGAGTGGTTCAGTTGCCTTAGGTAGGGATATTTGTCAAACATCAGAGTCTCTGTTATTTTCGCTTTGTCTGAAGTCTGTGAGTCTTTAAATTTTATTTGCGCTAGTCAGGGCCGTTTCTAGGGGCGGGCGAAGCGGGCGATCGCCCGGGGCGCCAGCGGGATAAAGGGGGAGGGGGGGGGGGGGGGGGCGNATCCGGCAAGATTTCAGCTGAAGATCCCTCCCTCGATCCCTCACTCCGAGGTGAATGAAGAGCTCGAACTCGAAGAACTGGTGTTAGGGGGGGGGGCGCCATTGGAACTGCTTGCCCTGGGCGCCAGCATCCCCAGAAACGGCCCTGGCGCTAGTTATCTATAGAATTGATTTTTTGCATTGCATGAAAATCAATCATGTGCCAAGCACACCTGCCACCGTAGTTGCCCTCTCTCCAAAAAACGAAGAAGAAAATTATAAACAGCATTAACACTTTCGCTGCGGAATTTTAAAATCCCCGATATCGCTTTAAGTGCAAAAATGCGACAACCGCAGCGATTGAAGGGTTGTTATAAAGAAATCACCCTACATTTTTTATCATCACTGTAGAAGGGACTGTCGAATGTAATTTCATTTGACAAAGGTTGAAGGGCCTCTAATGTCACCACAAGATGGCAGTGCAAGTTGATAGGGGACGCTGTAGTTGCATATGATTAGGGAAAAAATGAAAAAAAAACATGATAGGGATATGACAGCAAGTGTTTAAAATGATCACTATCCATTTTCACCACTGTAGGTAATGTTTGCGCAACTTAAGTGAATGCTACGCGTATTACTGTCACTGGGATAGCAAAAGTCTCACTTCGTAAAGCATTCTTCAAGGCAGGTGAATATCGAAAAAATGATGGAGGGCTCTGGTTACAGAGTTTTCTTTCTCGTAATAACAAATCAACAAGACACGTTGGTGCACAAAGAGCTCCGGCATGTTGCATTGAGTGTATTGAATGCCAGACATGAGTCTTTCCGATTTATTCTCGTTCTTCAATATTTATTATTGCATATGTGACCACAGCGACCCCTATCCAAATGCACTGCTCCTTTGCGGAGGTATTAGAAAACCTTATAGACCCATCGACCTCTGTCAAATATGAGGTGTATCCAGCTAACCCTCCCAAAGTTACGGCCGAAAAACGTTGGGTCCTTTCTTTCATAACAACCTCGGATTTCGAAATCGTTGTTCTGTGCCATTTTTAATCTACTGAAAAATCATTTTTGCCCTGGATGCCCAGCAATGCTGTTGTGAAGAGTACGTTCAGTCAATTGGATGTCATGAAGATGAAGCAGAGGCTCCTCTGGCTTTCGAAGTCAGCGTTTCCATCTAGCAAAGGTTATTTTCTTCGTTTCCTTGCTGGATTCGGATTCATATCAATAGCGCCCACGGTGGCATCGAGATTTCGCATTGGATGCTACCATCTCTGCAACGCCACAGCGAGCGAGTTCCGTCACCGAGAGTAACTTCGAAGGTAACCTCGCGACTACAATTTCATCACTCGAGATACCAAGTTATCCGGCGATACGTGAGTTACCGTCATGTAATTACTAGGGTGAACCTGTTTTACCCTCATCTAACCGCATTTACGTTACCAGAGTGTCGGCTTACATTTGGGCAAAAGAGTTACCCGGGTAAAGCGAGAGTAGTGTAAAACGAGCTTTACGGAAGGGAGAGTATATCCAAGCCTATCGTTCTCCGTAGGCTCATTATCGGAGAGGTGCGGGGCAGAGGAGCCTTGGTCGAGTTGAGGAAGCCTTCATCTCTTTCCTTCTATGCCTCTGTCTCACCTCTGAACCCCAGGCTTCACCCATCATCTCCGAAGTCACCAAGGTATTTCTTTCCCCACATCGCCCATGAGATATTAAGTTTGCGAGGTCTCATGTCGATATACAGCAGGGGTGCACAACTCAAGAGACTGTGAGGGCCGCTTGCGACTTTAACTCACATACAACAGGGCAGGAGCCGTAGTAGCACTTACAACGCCATCAGTCATGGCGGGCCGCAAACAAGGACCTCGCAGGCCGTATGTTGTGCACCCCTGAATGTCATAAATCCACCTACCCACCTGATAGGCCACAGTAGGGTCTATCGGGCTTATTATGAACCTTGTTTATATCATTTTCAACCAATAGGAATCAGAAGCTGAGAAATGCCCAATTGGCTTCATTCCAAATATTAATAAAGAAAAAGTGAGACTTTCCGCTTTTATATGGTATGTATATTGGGTATGTACAACATATAAAAGTAAGTATAAACTATTTTAGAAAACTTTCTGAATTCTGCTTTAGCTTGAGGAGCTTGAGCCTCGCACAACTTATGATTTAAATCTTTATTTGCTTCGTGGAGACTTGACTCAGAATTTCCATTATCTATGAGTTTTTTTCGCGCGTGTTTCATAATTCCCCTTTCCGCTCGGGAGTCATTCTGAAACGCAATTTTTTTCTTACATGCGAGCTAAAAATGGAAAAAGTATTGTTATAATTAAGAAATTCCTCAAAGAGGAATGGTGAAAAGGGAATGGGCGAATGGTGAAGCTCCAAACAGATTCAGGTTTATCAAAGCCAACGAGGAAGTTGTTTTATGAAATAAAGTGAGAGAGAATCGATGTTTCTTTAACGGAAACCACTATCAATTTACCCGTTTAAGATGAGGATTTATGGAAATATCATGATTCCAATATCCTCTCTTTTCACAATTAACTGTGTGAGCTTCAGCATCCCTGCACCTTGAGTGAAACTCCTAGTAACCTAAAATTAGCGGAGAAGTTCGAAGTTACCATCATTTTAAGGGTAATCATGAAACTTTGATAGCCACCTTCCTTTCATTTTAAGTCGAATATGTGCATTATTGCTGCATACAAAGCGCAGGACCTATCATTCGCCGCATTTATACTCCGTTTCCTCAGCAGTGGAGAAAATCTGAAAGTTTAGTTTGTTAAGTAATTATCCTGATTGTCCCAAGTACCAAAATTGCCCTATCCGCAAGTTCTGGTCGAAGTGGCCCAGAACTACTCAAACGACCCACTTTAGTCATTTTGTATCACTTTGATTGACCCCTATGACGTTACGTGTGAAACACCCTGTCTGATGGACGGTAGGTGCTCTTGAGTGTGCTGAAGCTGTGCAGCCCTGGTGCAGGGTGCAAACTGAAACGACCTCAAGGACCGAGAGATGAAGATTCTGATCCAAGCCGCCAAGAGGTTCAAATCCCTTATTCTCACGAGCCCAGACATTAGAAAGAAACTTTGTTGTACGTGTATCTTTTGATGTCTTAGGATCCAAGTGATGCCGGTGGATCCCAGCAGCTGGTGAAACCGAATACCAGGCTCCGACATCTTTGGGAACGATGCCTCAGTGAAGCTAAGAAACTTAAGCGTGAGATTTTTCATTCCTAAAGCCATTTTCCAAGCCCCTCGGAAGGAGGTTTCTCTCCCTTTCATCCAATAGAGAGAGAGAGAGAGAGAGAGAGAGAGAGAGAAACGTAAATGAGAAGGGATGCCTCAAGTTGAGATGGGATGCCTCAAGTCTCCATTGTCGTAAGGAAGGAAAAGCGAAAATACGTTAGGGGGGCAGGTGGCAAGAGAATGAAATGTGAAAATAAAACTCGAGAAAAATGGACCATCATATAGGCTGATTCAAGAGTTATAGGAGACGTTACATAACATTGAATGCAGGGGAAGGGGGAAGGGGGAAGGGGGAAGGGCTGGGCTAGACTAGCGAGACAAAAGAGGAAACGCGAGGGCCTGCGGCCCGAACCGATCGATGTCTTCTTGGTTTGGTTTTCCCCACACTTCATTCGTCTCACTTTCACCTCGACCCTGAGACAGGAGTATCGCGAGATGAGGAAAGTCTATCAGAGAAACTTTTGAATTCGCAGCGCCCCAGCCTAGCGTGGAGGTCGCGCGTCGTTGGGGCTGGGAAGGGGAAAAAATCCGGAAGGCGTGGAAAGTATCAGCGTTGGGCTTGGGGTAAACCGTTTCAAGTTTGGCCGATATTTCATTTTCTCTCTTCTCTAACAGGCCCAAAAGAGGACTGAGTTCACCCCATGCATCGCAGAAAGTTGTTTTTTTTCCCGCAAAAGGACTTCTCTCACCCAGACTTTTCTTTACCCAGCCGCACATGATGGAAAGGTGAAAGAAACTTCTCGAAGCTTTTGGGTGAAATTTGAGTGCGACGAGAGGTTTAGTGTCTGGTATAATAATCTGAGTGATGCTCGTTCGTGTGTGCCTGCGCAGGAGAGTTATATAACCTAGGCGATCCGCTGAGGCATCGACTTTATCCTCTCTCTCGCCTTATGTAACAGGACGCCACTAGGGCACTTCACACAGTTGCACGTCATGGAAAGGGCAAAACGATGGCAGAGATGCCCGACAATGCTTGTTACTTTGATGAACTTACTGAAGCAGTTGGTCCGAACTACGAATCATTTAAACTTAATATGAAGCAGTAGGCCCACTCGGAGTGCACAGCAGCGGAGTCTTGTACCCTTGAGGTTGAGGTTTGACTTGGAAGTAATTCCCCTTTCACAGCAACCAAGGTGAGAGGCGAACGTATCCTACTGCACTTTCCTTGGACGCGCGTGAAGACGAGGGAAAGGCCTACTTCCATCCCAGCTTTTTCTCCTGTCCTCGTTTCTCGTAATCAGACCTCGAAACACCTTTCCTTATGCAAACCCGGTTTGTGGGCGTGATGAGTAGAGACTTGCATTCATCATCACACTCGATAGCACCTCATTTGAGGAATCGTGAAGTAATAGCTCTTTCTCGTACAGATTCTCGTACAGCACACGTTCACAAGAACGCAGAACCCCCAAAATGTGTACTCGTCATACCTTTCCAGGTTTTTGGAATCCTCAAAATTCAACCCATACTTTTGCAGATCTGAAAGCGCGCAGTTGCGTTTTCTGCTTCTTAGGGTTTATTCCTGTCATTTTGGTAATGGAGCAATTATAAATTACCCCCTTTGCAAAATAATAGTTTCATGAATCGACGCATGATGTAAAACAAAATTTTAGCTTAACAGCATAGTATAGAACAGTGGTTCTCAACCTTTTTACTGTCGCAACCCATTAAGTCCTCTTCCCATCTTTATGCGACCCACAAATTTAGAAACGTCCAGAAATAATGCAGCCATGTGATTTAAAAAAATAGTTAATTGCCTTTTTAAATACGAAAATTACGCTCTCAATATATTGCTCTTGGCACGGGTGATTCCTTAACCCTTTCAGACCTGGCGTCCATTCCAATGGGCATTGCATTTACATTGTGTCTATGGCAATTTCTTAGGATTCACGTGACTGCGCTCCATATTACGCTACTATAGGCGCAATTATGAATGGCTAAGTTCCATCAGAGGCCTTCTTTCACCCATTAGTTTTGTAATCTTCAGTTATTTAATTAAATGTATAATATATAATATATGGTATGATATGGTAAATTTATACAAAATATCAAGACCACTTATAAAGCATGCAAATTAGCCATTCATAATTGCGCCTATAGTAGCGTAATATGGAGCGCAGTCACGTGAATCCTAAGAAATTGCCATAGACACAATGTAAATGCAATGCCCATTGGAATGGACGCCAGGTCTGAAAGGGTTAATTATTCCTCTCTGTTTCCTCTTCAATCTTCCTCTGAAAGAACTCCAATGGTTTATCCTTCAATGTTGGATGATTCCGATTTAAATGCTGCCTCGATTTTGAAGGTTTCATGGATGCATTGGCCAGCAGTTCACAAACGTAGCATTCTAGTTTCATACTTTGACACTGAAACCACACTGAAGGTATGAATCATTCTACTTCCGCATTGATATCAGTTTCGACTTTTTTCCCGACTCCTGTCTCAGTGACGTAACCAGAGGTGATACCATTAGTACCAGCGCTTGCACTCGGTTTCATCAGGAAACAATCCGTTGAAAATGAATGCTGAACCTAAATAAGTAACTACTGGAAATTATGGATGAGATGAACTTCGCAAACCTCCCTCTCCTGAAAAAGAAATAGAGAGAAGGAATGTAGCATGTTCATGTAGCAGAGAAACTAAATAGAGAAAATGAACATCAGCTCTTGCCTGCAAAAGCAGTCACCCTTAACCATGTTACCTAGGAAAGAGAGAGAATGGCAGAATTGACGAGGAGTTCACTGGGGATGAAGGTTAAGAGTAAGAATGATGAAAAAGTCGTTTCAAAGCTGTTTGCCCTTCTTGGAATTGTTTGCCAGCAAACCTTCTCCCTGTGCTGCCTTCTCTGAATTAATAGATAAGGTTGCTCCTGGAAAGTCGAGCTCTAGTAATTCGTTTTGACACTTATGATTGATCTCTGTCTTCTCAATATCTCTCTTACATTTTAAATTAATTTCATTCTCTCGCGACCCACTCGGAAGACCATCGCGACCCACCGGTTGAGAACCACTGGTATAGAATCGGACTAAGGTAAGGTTCTTCATCTCCCTTTTTACCTTTATTTCAAAGACGCGAAGCTTCCTCCTTTTAGTTCCTAAGGAACTAAGAGGTCATTTGCTATCGTCATTTAACTCCTTCCATTCGCTTCTTGTGAATATTTTTTTTTTATGATGGACAAGTATGTGGAAGTACAAGATTCGACCCGAGCTAACAAATCCTGTAGCAGCTAAAAGGGAGAAGAATCAGACCTGCGTGGATATTTTATTTCTTGTTGAAGTTTTCCGCTCTGTTCACTTTTTTTTTACGCGTTTTCCGTTTTCGCATCCATTACATAAGAATGGAATATCACTAACGGATGGTGAATGTGAACGTGAGAGAAGCCTCTCAAGAAGTGAATTCACGTTCTTCAGTGTAGTTAGTGTTTCAGTCCAGTTTATTGAGTCACCATTAGCTGGAGTCTATGGGAATAAGTTTTATCTCTGTTGAACTGATTCCCATAGGGAACCATTGTGAGATCAGATTAGTTTAACTTAAACGGATTCGGTGCATGTCACCCCGAGAATCCGTTTCGGGAGTTAAACTTGATATAGAACAGGTTTATCTTTCAATATTAGTTTAAGAGAGAAGTAAACTTAACGTATTTGGTGCATGTCACAAATCAGTTCATTGACGAGATTCAACTCATTCTTAAACATGTTTGCCTGGAATCACATCAGTTAATCTCCTAAACTAAACACCTGCTGTTCGCAGCGACGCAGCAAATGTGTCAGTTTCGAAATTTGGTAATCCCAATTTGTTTTAAGACAAATTCATTATATTTCTGCTACTATTATTCGTCTTTATTTTTTAGAATGGCAAAGTGACCTACGCCAGCTTCGCAGTTTCACTTTCTCATCGCAAACAAATTGAAAGTAATACGCACCTATTCCAACGACTTCATTTGAAAGCAATGGGAGCAATTTTTTGTGTCGAGAGCGCCTCGCTCATGTGCATTTTCAGTAATTTAATGGGGTGCTTATCTTGTAGAATTTATCTTAGGGAACTCTGATGTACAGCTTCTGCATGTCAATTCCAATGAGCCTTCAAATGAGGAGCTTATGAGTTACATTGCTAAGGGACTCGTCTGTATGAGGACATCAAATTTTTTTCATTTCTCCCAGTACAACAATCACTAACTATGGAATTCTAGATGGATTTGTACAAATTCACGCAGCCCAGTAACTGAACTCTGCATGGCAATCAACTACCTCACCTAAAGAGAAGCTGTACCATTGCAAAGGCTGTACTCAGAATTCCAAGATTATTCATTTCTGCAGAATAATATAATTAATTCGAGAACTTTTCCTTTACCCATTCGGTGTCTGATCTCGAACACCCCGTCACCGTAATGTATGAAACAATGAATCCTTCCAGGATCGGAGACTGTGGAATTCCTACGGGTGAAAAACGATGTGAAGAGAGGAGATTTCGACTGCCCTCTCTGCCTTAGGATGTATTGGCAGCCTATAACGACGCCCTGTGGGCACACCTTTTGCAAAAGCTGCCTGGAGCGATCTCTGGATCACAATCCCGAGTGTCCCCTGTGCAAAGGACCCTTGGACCTGGTTCGTTTTTCGTCCTTGTAGTTGTCCTTGACAGGTGTCAGTTCACGCATGAAGGGATCGCCCTCCCGTAATGACGTACAGTTTTTGGCCAAGCGGGATTGGAAGGTGACCCAGTTCCTGGAATACGCCATGCAGACCCTGTTGCCGGAAGAATTTGAAGAAAGGATGAAGATCCACGAGGAGGAATTGAGGAACGCGACAGGATTCCAGGACATGCCTATCTTCGTCTGCACCGTTGCCTTCCCGTCCGTGCAGTGCCCTCTACATGTCTTCGAGCCTCGATATAGGTTAATGATGAGAAGGGCCATGGAGTCCGGGACGCGCCACTTCGGCATGTGCTCTCCCACTTCCGACGCCCAAGGGTCTGTTGCCCTCCTCTCTTCTGGAGCAAGTACGAAAAGGGTTTTAGGGGAAAAGGGTATTAGGAAAATAATTCTAAGGGTTATTCCATCCTCTGTTTAGGTTCAGTGGGGTAGGGACTCTGTTGGAAATCCGGGACATCCAGTATTTCCCCGATGGCCGATCGGTGGTGGATACCATCGGGGCCAAGAGATTCCGAGTTTTAACACGGGGAACCAGGGATGGATACAACACTGCCACCGTGGAACCATTCATGGATATGCCTCCTTCTGAGGACATGCTCACAGGTTGGCAACTGCTTGTGCTTGCCCCCTTCATTGTTACTCATTCGTTCATTCTTGTTCGCCCTTGTGATATTTGTGTATGTATATGTGGAGTAGAGTTGAAGAAGAAGCACGATGAAGTTCGCGAGGAAGCAGAGAGGTGGATGGAGGGAGTAGCCAGATCGACAAGAGATAACATCCACCTTCACTTCGGCTCCATGCCACCTGTAGAACCGGAGTATTGGACTCTACCCAATGGCCCTGCCTGGGTGTGGTGGGTAATTGCCATCCTTCCCCTGGACAACAATGCACAAGTGAGTCCAGCAATAACCCACTCAGTAAATGCTGAATTTCATGTTTGTTGCACGCGTCTTTCTTCACAGCTGGCTTTCTTGCACATGAGCGGGATGGAGAAGCGGCTGAACGCCCTCCTCCGGATCCTTGGCTACCTTGGCGATAGGAATGGGAACATCTGACTACCGAAAAGTGAATGCAATGGCTTGACATCAGCAGCATGTCTCTTCTAGTGTGATATCACTTTTCCTTCCCTCCCCTTTACATCTGTGATCAACCTGTCTCTTCATATGCACGGCATATTGTGCAGATCCTCTGAGACACAAGTAGACCAGTTCCTTGCTTTGGGCAGCTGCTCTTGCGTTTATTTCTTGCTGTATTAGCGAACGCAGGGACACAGTTAATCATAACCCTTCATTTTATGCAAATCTGTGCTTTATTCCATCGGACAAGATGAAACTGTAGGGCTGATATGCTCTACTTGCAGCCACTATCTATGGAGTCCTTCGGGGATAAACGACTCCTCTGTTCCTCCAATACTTTCCCTCTCAATCTCCTCTGGAGACCATTATTAGTTAAAGAGATCATTTTGCCTAATGTTATTGAATGGTTGACTTTTTTTCTGCATGTGTCTCTGTTGATAATGCTTTACATGGCGATCCTTCATACAACCATCTTGATGAGTAAACACCATCTCCTCTGCCTTCCATCGGTCTTGTTAATTCATTTCTGTAACCTAGCGGACCCTGCTATATTGGAAGCAGTGCCGTATCCAGAGAAGTGAGGCCCCTTCACCCTTGGCCAGTCAGATATAAAATTTTCGTCCCAGTTCTGGTTGTGAGAGCAGAGCGCAGGCTGCATGAAAAAGAAGTGAACAAGCCACATTGTGTTAAGGCTCAATGGGAATGTCCTTGTATTCGTCTACTGCAGGGTTTCTCAAAATTCGTTTGAGCCCATGACTTCGTTGCATGGAAGACGAATCCGGCCCAATTTTTATATCGTTGAGAATTAAAAAAAAATTGAGTACAAGAGTACTTGATCTAGGAAGCTTGATGGGGTAAGTATCCAGGTCAACAGCTAAAGTGGAAATACTATGTCATTAGTAAAAAAAAAGGCCTGAAATATTACAGCTTTACATTGTACCTTCGTCAAAAGTAAGATTACCTGTGAGAAGCTGGTAATTTCAAGCCGTTCAACAATAGCAATGCAACTCTTGCTTAAATTTACTTTAGCCAGAAAAAGCATGAAAAAAAGAACAGTCATGCAGTAGTGCACCATTCAGGGTGCAGGGGGTTGCAAAAACGCCTTCTTTGGGATTCCCACGATGTGCACGTTTGAACTGTAACGAATTCTTTGATTGCCGTTGAAATATGTTCGCGATTTTTCAGTGCATGGACGTGTGCCAAAATGCTGGTATGCTTCTTGAAAAGCATAAAAAGCCACTTGAATTTAATCCTGCGAAAACATTAATTAAGCCTGAAGTCAAGGCATTAGTATCTCTACTTCACATAAATTTCAGGTGACCTGCTTGCCAGGCTATTCCTCCATTAGCAGTGGCGTATTTCACGGGGGGCGGCAGCCCCGTTGGAGGTAATACTATTCTTCCCAAATATCGCTTGAGTTGAGTTTGGCGCCCCCCCCCCCCCCCAGACTCTTCGCCACTGTCCAGTAGAGTTTTCTCTGACTAATGAGGGAAAAAAGTAGGGCCGTTTCGATGAATCAGCAACCGCCGGCATGGCACCATCGGCCATCGGCAGATTTGCAAGCTGCCGGTGCCGATTTCCAAAGAACACAGAACGAAGAAAATTTCAAAAAGACGTGAACTTGGCTACTGATTCTCAACGGCAATAGAAAAAAATTAGGACTGTCCCAATGCATCCATCGATGAATGCATGTCATTTTCGATGGTTGGAGGCATGGTAAGCTTTATCACCCGTCGCGAAGGCCACACCTCCTCCCTCGCAGGCGACATTATGGAATACGGATAGAAGCACGCACCCTGATCGCGGCAAGAAACGACGGAAGTGAAACCACCCGATCGCAGCGAGAAAAGATTGAATTGGTTCTCTGTTTCTCTACACGTCACAATAGGCATCGGCACCGACTGATAGGTATGAGTTCATAATCGGCCATCGGTATGAACCCAAAAGAAAGGTCTTCATCTAAGCATTTTCTTATGGTGGATATGCTTCGGCTCGTACAGTGAAGGCAATGACAGATTTTCTTCATCATCTCCGATCACCCTGTGACACCTTTACGATCCACAGTGACCAATTGGGAACTACCCATAGGCGCCGAACCCAGGGGGGCAAAGGGGCACGTGCCCCCCCAACCATATTATTGAGGGGGCAACGCCCCCGCAAGAATAGCCAAATTTAAACAAAAGTATGGCACATGGAAAATTGAAAACAAAATGCTGTTTCACGAAAGAAATGAAAAATATGATTTTCCTTTCGTTTAGAGCTCCAACTGGGGAAGATCCCTGTCACCCCATAAGGGTATGGAGTGGAAGGGCCATGGTCAGCCCGCCCCCCGCTCTGCTACCATAATAATACTGGGCTACCCCAATGGATCCTGGAATAATTCCGTGAATGTTATTTCAGGGGCATTAGGAACTTGCCTCCTCAATATTTTTTAGAAGTCGGCGCCTATGGAACTACCCCTTCGGGTGGTTACAACAAATTGATGTTTGGTTTTTAATTTTGAAACTCGATATTACTCTTGCATCCCAGCAAACATAGCTGTTGTAGCAACGCTAGGAATGTGTTATCTAAATGTTTCAGTGTATGACTGCTGTGTCGTGACATAAAATAAAAATAGGAATGACGTTCAAATGTCATCTTTGAAGGCACTCAAAGAAACATTAAGACAGCGTTGGAGAAATGCTGCCACAACGTTCTTGTATAACAGTTATAACGCTACTGCAACATTATTTCACCAGAAGTCACATGGAGCAAAATCTGGCGAATGAGATGAGAGAGTGTCTGAACAACAGATTCCTCCAAAAACGGCTTTGTTCGAAGGGTTGAATTTGCCAGATTGTTGTTCTGGTGAGAGAGGGTGTCCTAAAATCCTATTATTGGTCAATGTTCTCTCTGAGCTTCAAACACTACAAACATGCAATCATCTGCAAACCAGCCTGCAGTAACTGTATGTCCCTCATCGTGACTGATGGGCTTCAAAATGTCATGCACTGGGATGAAAAATGCATGCATGTTCTTTCCAACACCTCTAGGTCTCATGACTTTTAAAGATGGTTCCTCATCTTGAAACACCCACATCATGCTTTGCCTCTTAGTGAGAGGGCCATAATGGTAGGAATCAGACTTTTTCACATGTGATAATGTCATTCAGTTGCTTCAACCTCCCTTCAGCATCATGCAGCTAAATTCAACATTGTATTGGTCTTTGGTCTTCAGTAAGGTGATAAGGAATGCAGTGACAACAATCCTCCAGACCTGCACATTTTGATGAAGGACTTTCATTGAGGCTGCTGATGCAATTCCTGCTTCTTGATCCATCAGCCAATATGTGATATGATGGCTATCTCTTATTCATGACATCACAGCTTCAATTTTTTCTTTCTCAGATGCTACCACTACATGACCTGATTTAGAATCGCCTTTGAAACCCTCCCTCCCAAACCTGAAAATGTAGCACCACTGGGTGACTGTGATATGCATGAGCACAGTCTCCTAGCACTGTTTCCATCTCATGATAGTCCTTAGCTGTGAACCTTGTTTGAAGTTGTAGAAGATCATGACCTGGAGTTCTCTTCTCAGAACTGAACTTGAACCATCATCTTTCATGCAGTTAGCAAACCAGTCTATGAAAATTTCTCCTCCAATTTTTCTCAATGAGGCAAACCTTTTTGAAATTTTGTTCACAACCTTCAGGAACTTAAAAAGAAACTACAGGATTAAAAACTACAGGATCGACTTGCTACCCCGGTGTACTTACAAAAAATAGGATCTCAAGAAAACAATCAATGTCCTTTTTGTTTGGAAATTGGAAGCCTCATGCACGTGTTTTGGGAATGTATAGAACTCACTGCAGTGAAGGAGTACATTTCAAAATTATTTTTATTGTTTTTACCACCAGTGACGTTGAATCCCCAAGTTTTCTTTTTTTATAGATTGCAAAATCGAGAACAGTATTCGTCACACAACATCAGACTCCTTGATTTCCTAGTCACGTTGGCTAAAAAGTGTATTTATGACCATTTTATTCAAAGAATTAATAGTGATTTCCTTATTCAGCCAGAGTACCTGAGCATCTTCAAAAGACGTCTTCAAAAGAGGGTGAAAGAGGACTACTTATTCTACAAAAACGGACATCTAGACTATGCAAAACTCGAAAACACATGGAATCCCATTGCAACGTGAGAAGGAACATCCTCAAGTCTGGAGATGGTGACTGTGGAAGAGCCTGAAAATTAATCTTGTGATATCAATATGTTGTGAATTGTGAAAAAAAAAAATATATATATATATATTTTTTTTTATTATCTCAATGAGAGATTGATGTGACAATAGTAATAAAGTGTCTTATGAAACCTACAGGATGAAAAACACAACTATTTAGAAATGCTTAGTGTATCAGTTACAAAACTTTTGGAACAACCCTTGTAAAACAAGCCTCAGACATCATTTGACACAGTGGCCTCTTTTGGATCATGTGGTTCTATGTCTTCTCAGAGCAGATTGTGTTACTGATAGAGCCATAGAGGTACTTTATAGTGTCTCAAGAAGTGTAGCGTGAGTAGATGATGCACTAAGAGACTGGCTTGAGTACAAAGAGCAGTCTATTCCTATTTCAGCATCCAAGTCATCACAAATGCAATGATTACATCATGGATCCTCCCACATTTTGAGCCACTTTTGTTTCAGATATTCTTTTTGATAAAGGGGTGTCATGTATGACTTCTTATACTTGATGTTTACATCAAAAACACTTTCATTTCCCAACCTAAGTTCTTCCACCTTAGGATGAACTGTTTCTGGAACAAGGAATTGGCCATCATCAGTGAGCTGAGTTCCCCAAGGAGCTTCACCATTTGCACCCCGCATGGGCAAGTTTTCAGGAATTTCAATTGGTGTTATCTCCACTAAATGCTTCACTTTCCAAAGGAGTGCATTGGTCTTTGGGGTGTTTTTCACTACTGCAACTGGATTGCCCTGAGGAATAGAAGAGAATGAAGAATGTGCATATGAAAAAATCTTAGGTATCAAAAGGAATGAGGCTGAAATTAAATAATGGGGATACAGTACCTTGAGGAGGAGGCCAAAGTCCTTCAGGATTTTCTTCTCCCAATAAGGTTGGTTTGTAAACTTGGTGACAATCCTCTTGACCATGAAGAGTTTACTAGGCTTCACAGGTGAATCTTCATGATCTGGTCTTCGAGGGAACCATCTTGGACCTCCAGGAAATGAGTCCTTCATGCACTCATCCTCCTGATACTTAGTACTTTCTATGGTGTATCGGGAAGGCTTGCGGTTTGGAGGAACTCCAAGTATTTGACTCAATCCTGTCCTCAAGAGGCAACTTGGGTTTCGGATCATACCTGCTTACAAAGAAATCAAGATGTGAAACTTACATGAAGCAACAGAAGAAACAAATTAAATATGTTTGACACTTCTTGCAGGAAACTGTGGTTTTACAGTTAACAATTTGAAGAAAAAAAAAAGTATATCTGTCTAATGAAACATCTCCAGAGATGGGATGGAAGTGACAGGTGATTGGCAGTTGACCAAGATGATAGCATGAAGACTGCCATGCCTCAATCTTTAACCCATTCTAATGGGTTAAATGGCCTTCTGATCTAAAGATCCTCATTCTATTCCAGCAGATAAGCAAAGAAAACTAAAAGGAAGTTTGTAGAAAAACATAATTTATTCTGAGGTATCAAGGTAAAAAGAACTCCAAGTTCAATACATGACCATGCTGTAATAATTTTGAGTTGAATGAGAATATGTGACACATGAGGAGCATTCATTCATAATATGAAAAACACCACTCACACAAAAGAAAAAAGAAAAAGGGAGATATGCCATGATTGGCATGACATGTAGATCACAATGTCATGGTCATTATCATGCCTCCAAGCAGGCTGGAATCTTTGATCAAAGCTTTGGCATATTTACTGAGTTTTATGTAATGAGCGAAAGCATCACAAAAGAGCACATTTATACATTCAGCGTCAACCTTTCTCTCGTCTCTTTGACCTCAAAGGAAACTTTGATTCTTGAGAATCACTGGAATGTTTTATTTCCATTCATTCAGGCAGGGGGAAAAAAAAAAGAAAAATGAAAAATATAACCTGAAAATTTCTTTGGGCGGCTTTAGGGCTTTGTACACATGGAGACTACACATGTTTTACTGTGACAAGAGTGCCTAAGCCATAGATTAGTAAGATACAGGACACTGGCTCTTAAAGCAAAAATGGTAACTTTAACATGAAATGGAGATACAGTACAATGAGTGTGTTTTTTTTTTAACCAACACAGGTATGGAATACTTGAAAAATTTTCCTCTCACTCACTCAAAACTCAGCAATGGAATTGTTGTACCAGTCAACTTTGACTGAACTGCATTTGCATTTTAGAAAGCATCCCCTGTCTGGTACCTGTAGTAGGAAGTTTGTGCTCATCATGCACGACTAGGTCAAAAGGAATCCATGTTTATCACCTCCCATTCAAGAGGCAAATGTCAAATATGGTCATCCCAATATGCAGTCAATCATGGAAAGCCTCTGATTAGTGATATATTGTTCCCATCAGTCTCATTATATGAAAGCCTCCATGAAAGCCAAAAATAAAAGGAAAAAAAAAAAACAAAAACAGAACAAGTAATAGTTCTAAAGCTTCTCCAGGTTAGGAAAAGGCTTGGCGCTTTGGCAGGGAATGCAAAGAAGCAAGGAATACTGATGATCCCTGGGGTGCTGGGGAAAAAAATATGCATAGTAACAGAAAGAAATAAAAAAGGGGGAGATCTGGTTTGGAATTTGTACCAAAACACCATCATCACAGGAGCTCCAGAGTGGAGGCTCCTCTCCATTCAAGCAAATTTCATTGTTCATTCATACCATGATATGGAAAGGGGGAGGAGAAAAATGAGACTGATATCTCCTTCAGATGCGTGGCTTATAGGTGAGGGTGACATGGAACGCTTTGATTTCTGTGCGTGTGTTTTCCATTTCTGCAATGGTGACAGGCCTCTTGGATGCCCGTGGCTCACAGTCTCCAGCTGTGCTGTCTTTCTCACCACCATTCTCCTTCTCTCGCTTGCTGGAACTTCGACGAACTATCTTACCTCCTCCTTCTAATTGGGCTCGGGCACTGGTTCCTACAAGTAAAAACCTTCATCAACTCCTCCTCTTGTGAGTTTTGAGATACAAAAGGAAGCTAAGCCTGAGAATTTAGGAGATACCAGTGGAAGGGTTAAGAATTGCATTCATTATATTCTCCAATTGTCTTGATTAGAAACTGAAAACAGACCGAGATTCTCTGATAAGGCCCCAGGTGAGCGAGGATGGGAGCAAGAAGGGGTTTCCACATCATCTTCAAGTTGCTCCATCACACTCATCATGCTTGAGCGAGGCAGTGGCGAAAGGAACCATTCAGAGCGGGTTCGCATTCGTGCCGTCTGCCGTTCATGTACCTGGCAATATGGAGCAGCCAATTATTTTTCAACCACCTCAAAACTTTACACCCCAAAGACAAGATTCACAATGGATCATAACAATCCATATGAAAATGCTGTCAGTCATGATTGACGCAGTGCAGTAGCTTTCTTACAATGGTACACTGGGCACTGCAAATTATTTGCTTCCTGGAAGATTTTGTTTTTGTAAGAGATGGAAGCTCCAGTAAAGGCTAAAGATAGTAATCTGTGTCATACCACACTTCATGGAAATAGCAGATTCTATGTGCATAGCTTATGATTAAATTCATAATTTAGCTCTCATAGCTACAAAGAAAAAGATTTCCATGAAGAACTTAATCATTTATCTTAGTTTTCAACAAAAACCAATGTGCCTCTACTGCACATTGGTTTTTGTTTATGCAAAGGTTTATATTATGACTATCTATGATATCTCTCACTCATGGGTCTTGAAGCCTACTGGCAATGCCACATGTAAACCCTTCATCAAGTTGCCATAGAAAATGACAAGCATATCAGTAGAAGCAAAACTGATCTGGCATACTTTGTTCTGAGTCAGTGCATTGCCACATTTAAAACTATCACCTTAGGCCCCCAATGACACAATACTTTTGAAGTTCTTAAATGAAAAAAAAAATTCACTTTCATGGTTTCTGATAGGAGACCATTAAGTTTTATACCAGTATCTTAATGATTTACTTGTATATAGCAAACAACAAGCATTCAGTCATTTAAATGTTCTGTATTTGCCATTTGTATTTTTTCATGTGTAATGCTAACTTCATCAACAAGCATATATCTGATATAACAATTTTGAGGTAAATTTTAGCTAGTCAGTTTTCTAAATATTCATTGTAAAATTCATAATTTTCTCACTCAATTTCTTAAATTCTGTAGAGTGTGGTATGTAATGGATTGCCATCATGTGTACTCTCCATTGGTTCTATCTCCTCTCCTGTAAACCAAGGCAAGATGCAAGAAATTTGTGATAAAAGTTATTTCACATTTTTTTTAAAGGGACAACTGGGATGTGTTTTGCAGAAGCATCTACATATTTATTTTGTTATACTAAACATAAATGAAACCATCATGCATACAAGTGGGAGTGTAATCAGGAAATTACAAGCACATAGGCTGGGTACCTGAGGAAGGTAGGAAAGAGAACGGGTACTTTCAGCATAGCGATTGGCAACTCTAAGCTCATCCAATGTCAGATGCTCAGCAGGATGGACTTGCACTTGCAACTGGCTTGCCTTTGGTGAGCTTGAGCTCTTCATTTTGCTTTTCTGCAATTTATCATCCACAGTCTGTCAGTTGGGGGTTGGTTCATTTCAAGCACTGTTAGTGACTTGATTATCCATGCTGGGTGAAAAATATGGTAAGCCATCATATACCTGATAGATGCCATTGTCACCAAGGCTGATGCTCAGTCGACCTGGGGCCTCAGGGAATTCATCCAAAGAAGGCACTTCATCTGGCTGGTGAATCAGAGCAGGAGTTGACTGACATTCTTCCTGTCCACTCATAGCTATGGGGGGAGTAATTATATGTGTTATGAGTGCTATGAGTCATGACTGAGGGGTGCTTAGAAAAGATCCTAGCACTTAAGGAAACATGCTGCAATACTGAAGGCAGCTTGATTCACAGCACATGCAAAAGGAATCAGATACAAAGTACTGGCATCACACCTCATTCCTGATGGCTGAAGGGAGTTCTGTTGCATGAGGTTGACTCAATAGCAAGCTTTGCAGCCCTATGTTCTGATGCAGCATGGATATGACTTAACTTTAGAAGTTGTATTTTGATTTTATCACACTCCTGTTCACTTTTTAGCAGGTGACACTAGATGTCTCTCACTGAACAACCAAGGAACCCCAATATAATCTAGTTGATGCCAAAACAAAAATGTGATGTTGCATTTTTTTTATTGTTATCATAATGATCATTGCTTGAGGTCACAACTAAGGATCACAATACTATAGTAATGAGGCTTTTGGAATAATGATCAACAGCATTCCTGAACTGACTCTAGGAATGAATTACCACCAATAATTGGGAGAGGGAGACCAGATTCTGAAAATTCTGAATGTTTCAGTGCATCCCTTAAAAAGCACAACTACCCAAGTCAAATGCAAGATGGAAATTTAAAAACATGAGACCATCAGATTGTCTAAGGGCAACAAGAAAGGGTGAGTGAGCTTGCTTTTTAATTCTTTATGATTTGCATGAAGCAATTCCTGGCAGAAAGTCAAAAGCAAAGTTTCAATCTTAATAAAGCAACTAAGTTGGGGATGGTCAATATTGCCAGCATTAAACAGTATTGCCAGTCCATCCCCTTCGAGTTGGGACATGAAGCCAGTACCATCATCACCCCTGAAAAATGTAACCAATAGTAACTGCACAAACAATCATACATCCCCTATTTATATGTAAATGAGTGGCATTGCGGTGCAAATGGCCAAGTAACTTCTCTCATAACAGGGGCTAGGCAATTTGATTTTCCATGTGGCATTTGACTCTCATGCTTCATTACTGGGCTTGGGAAACTTATACTTGGCATCAGTAACTTTCATTCTTCATGATCAATGGTAACTCATAAGATTAACTCCAATGTGATATATTGAAATGCATCCATGTATCTGCATATGGAGTCATGTATAGTGTAAATGCAACTCTGTTGCTGTCATCTTGCACAAGTACAAGATATAACAGTTGCACTTGATTTTCCAAGCATGCTTTTCTCAAAAGTCCAACATCCAGCCAAGTGACATTTGATTTCCCTTATGTGGTTTTCTATGCTCCCATCCAGAACATCGACACTTTTTGAATTTCCTAATCACATTTGACTTTCTTATTGCTCTATTTGACTTGGAAAACTTATATTATGATGGTGAAAGGATTTGAGGATAGAGTTTCAATTTTTGACCAAAGAAACTATGAATTCTATGATGATAAGACAGGAGATAAGTCCACTTTTGGTGAAATTGAAAAAAATCATCACCACATAGAGTCCATCATGATCCAATTTCCTAGCATAAAACTTCTTCATATCTGCTACCTATTAAACATTTTCAGTTGGGTGGGTTGCATAGAAGTCGAACAGTCAGGGAGGTGAAGTGGAGAGGAATTTAAGAATCTTCCTCCTGGGAAATTGTGAAAATGGACTTTCGCCTTCTGTCATACCACCACAAAATTGAAACCTGCTAAGTCAGGAGGGTTAATTTCCAATGCTGAGTGGACTCCATAAACCATTTTGGTACTTAATTACATGCATATTAAATGCAGCATGATGGGAACATCAGTGGTATGTATATCAGGTTGTATATTCCTAGAGTAAACCAACAGGGAAAAATTAAGTCTTTTTTTTGGGAAAATATGGTAAAAAGCTATAAACCAGATACATACAGGGGGAAGTAGTTACAGGTAACTACTAGAGTAACAGGGGAATTAGTGCAAAATGGTTGAGCCTATATGTGGCAAAACACTCTTTCCAGCCTCTAACAGAAACCTCAACCAATGAATTAAAGTCTTGTGGAAATGAGGCTTTCATTGGCAAATCATGCACTAGAGAAAGAGCAGCAAGAAATTCCTTTACTCAGTCATTCAGCAATCCCATTCAAGCAAAATGCCCTAAAGAAAAAAAAAAGCACATGTAAATAAAAGGTAAAATATATATTTATTTTCTGGTTTATGATTTCTTCAGGTTTCTCCACTTTTAACCATTTCTACCATGGGAAGTTTACATGAGTTTTACTCAATTATCTCTGCTTTGAGAAAAACCATGTACAATTTCCAACTATAGTACCTCTCTCATGGATATCTTCTCCAGTTACTGTACAAGAAAGGAGACAAGTGCTCATTTACTTATTAGAGAGGTACAATATTCACTTTCTTTTTTTGTGCACTTCATGCTGAGATATTGAATGGTTAGAAGGAAAACTAGAGGAGATGGCATGAGAGATGAATATAGCTGGCACATATGAAGATGTAGTACCTCCAATTTTGTCTACTGCAAACTACTCATGGCACAAGCTCAAAAATATACATGCACATACTCCTAAATTTCCTCCCATTTTTTGTAAACTTTCATGAGTCACACCCAGAAAAGCTTTACCACTTTGGCGATTCAAAATGTTGGAGCGTTATGACAAACATCACAAGCATAGAGCAGTTATTGAATTTCATCCTATTGAGGGAGCACTTCCAACAGACATTCTTCATAGTCTCATGAAGATTCACACAACTTGCTCAGTGATGTATAGCAATCACACTGACACAAGCATCACCATAAAAACCTTCATGAGGCAATAAATGATGAATCAGAGGTACTCCTTCACCTGCATGGAATTCAATCACTGCCCTATTTCTTGTGATGGGGATCATTATACTCCACTGTTTTGAATCCCCACAGTGGCAGTCCTTTCTAGGTAGGAATCGTGAAACCTTACAAGGAATGGAAAGACAGTTGAAAGTGTCCAAGGCAGACAATATTGGAGGCATTACTTTGGGTAACCCTTGTATATCACTGGGGGGGAAAGGTGACACATTGATTCTTCCATGCCATTGCATGTGCTTTTTTCCTTTTAATTCTACTCTTTGTAATTGTCACATCCTCTCTCTATAATTATAGCCAACCACCAATTTTACTATAATTACCATTATTTTCTTTTAATAGAAAAAGCTGCATGCATTTTATGGGAAAGATGCAGAAGAAGTCATAGCACAGTATCCCATTTTTCCACAGGTGACTTAAAATGTGCCATGCATGATTTTAACTCAGAGCCTCAAACAGATTTTCATCTTATTGTTTTTGATATCCCTTGGGTTCCCTAGATCTCAATTCCTACAAGCAACAGAAAATTACATCTGGACAAAATGAGGAATGTTAATTTTATAAATTGGAATTCATCAGCTAGGCTCATTGAAAGCAGTCTGTGAAAAAATGGTAGAGTGGACAAGCAAGAGGTTCTATACATACCTTCAAGATTGAGGTTCAGTCCCCAGCGCTCAGATTCATGTTTTAACCAGGATTTCTGAACAGCCAAAATCTCTTGCCCTGAGAGGAGTGAAAAGAAACTTGGGCATGCATGTGCTCATAAGTGTAAAGAGAGATCCAACACCAAAGAAAGATCATAATTTGACATGCCAGCCAAAAATCATGGCAGGAGCCAAAGCTTGAGTTAGGTGTGATAAGTCTGGCCAAAGAGTGGTGATGAATCACCACTCTTTGGCCAGACCACACCACACCACCATGGCCTTATGTGCCTTGAAGAATATAATAGAGCTAGTTAAAAAAAAAAATCCAAGTACCATCAAGACAAACAGGAAAAACAGACCTACCTAAATGATTTGTCCAGGTCATAGTGCAGGTTCCTGAATAGATATAAAGTTCTAGTTTTGTTGTTTGATAGAGAACTGAAATCTGTTTGGAAACAAAAACTGATATAATTAGGTCGATTCTGTGCAAAGTTATGGATATTTTCCTGTTTTTTTACTCTTTTATTTAATCACAATGAAGAAACAAATTTAATCATCAATATGACCACCATCTGCTTCCAGAATTGCTTGAATGCATTTCAGGGATTCAACAAAGAAGATTTTATAAGAGTTCAGCATTCACTTCCAGTTCATGAAGTATTGTCAGTGAGATTGCTGAAAAGCGAGGATTTGGAATAATGTCCAGGCTCAGGTTCACGGTGCATTCATTCTTCCACACAGTCTTTGATGGTTTCATATTAATTTTCAGTTGGGTTAAGATCAGGTGAGTTACCAGGCCACAAATTGTTACCCAAAATTGAACCCCCCAATTCCTGATGAGTTCCATTTGCCCTCATGCTTTTCCATGGGTGAAAGTTGTCTCTCCCACAACCAGCACATTGTTTGTCGCTCTCAAGGAAGGGAAACATGCATCGTTCGAGAACAGTTTCTTGAAAATACTCACTGTTCCAAGTTTCACCCTTTTCCTTGACTACCCACATAATACAATTTGCAGTGAAGAGGATGAACAATCTGCTGCACACCAGATTCTAGATCCAGAAGTGTTCTTCGGAGGTGTCATTCAGCTCTTTCGCCCAGATACAGTCATAATAATCTTGTTCAGATGATTGGATTTCCTAATGGCATAGATGAAGAATTTGTTGCTGAACGTGAAGTCCACTCCATTGTACTGAGAGACGGAATAGGCAAGGAATAATTGGTTGTCTGGGACTTGGAGATCACATGGAACAGCTGCATTCATTCTTTCTTCAGTGATGAACAGACTCTTAAGAGTAATTTTTCTCTTGAACTACCAGAACCACACTAATTTTCAGCAGCTTTTGTTCTGGCAACCCTATCCCCACAGTGACAATTTGGTGACATTCCTGAGAAAGACTTGTTGGTTGACCAGCATTCGGAAAATCAGTGAAGCATTCCATCAACTCCTTGCTCCAAGTGTTCAAAAACCATGGGATTGATCACTTCAAAGATGTAACCACCTAATTATCAATACTATCAATAAATTCAGCACCAGCATCTTGTGCTTTTCAGAAGGCAATTGCTTGAAGACCATCAGCTAGATGCACTTCTTCTCAATCAAAGATCATCATGCAACAGGGTAACAGTGAAAGTCACTGAGAAACACTAAAAAAAATGTACTAACAAAAGAGCAGTAAGACTATTTGGTGCAGGAATGAGTTGAATGTGTCTCCAGACATGTTTAAACATGAAGCATTACTGTGCATGTCTCAGCAGTCATGAGAGTGAAAAAATGCAATAACTTTGCAATGAATCAACCAAAATAGATGAACATTTGTTTGCAAATGCAGATTTAATTACGATGTAGAACAAAAGAAACTGGGACTTTCTATCAACTCAGGAACCTGCTTTATGACCCAGGCCACATCATTCCGTGTCACCCTGTACAATCCTATATTGATTGGAAATTGAAATCAAATTTCAGCTCTCCCTTTCCTTTTAAAAGCCATATCAAAATGCTCCCTTTTGTAACTTATTTACTTTTCATTATTTTTTGTTACTTCTGAACATAAAAATTTTGTTATTCATTTAATTTTAATGATGGGTTTTGGTGTACTAGCTCCATTGCCCCTGCCCAGACCAGTCAGTACAGAAAAGTAATTACTCTGCAATTTTCTCCCTACAGAATAGTCTTTCTGGCTGGTGACAAAACCAGCTGCAGCAGGACATCCTCCTTTTGGAAGTCAAAAGTCAATCTTTTTTTCTATAGATGGAACAGAATTCAGTTTTCTAAGCCCTAGTGTCAAACTAGTAACCTGTGTTAGAGAATAAGGATGATATAGGAGTCATGATTAATTCCAAGAGAATCTACATACAGAGTATCTACATACATTCATGAATATATCAATAGAAGAAACTCCATGCACTCCAAAATGTCTCATTCCCCCTTGGGACCACTCCACTTAAAAATTTAACAAATAATAAATAAAAAACTACTTGACTGATAGCTTTAGCTAGTATATAAAATAAGAATTTTGAAATAGAATCCTTTTGTTCCCCAGGTGAGAATTTTTAGTAATATTGTGAGAAGACCCAAAAATTCTAAGAAAGCACCACCCATGTGAATTTAAAATTGTGAAATAACTTCAAGCTTCAGATATATCAGCATCAGTTATTATCTGTTCATCTTGATTGCAACTGTATGCCTGTTGTTACACAATGAAACTTACCATGCAAATCTCTATATCTTAGTTATACACCAGGGCTTCCCAACCCAGGGGTCACGAACCGGCAACAAATGCAAAGTTAAGTTTTTCTTTGTGATTTTAGTGCAGAGGAAGAGGGGAGCCTGTCTAATTTCACCCAGTGCATGGGGTCGTGAATAGTACGGAAGTGATTTTTGGGGTCGCGTGTGAAAAAGGTTGGGAAGCCCTGTTATACACACTTGTTATGTAAGATACATTAGGGAACCTATAAAAGACAAACTAATTTACTTAGTCAATGAGCTCATGGTAAACTAACTTGGATCAAATTGAATTTTTTAAAACCTTCTCTTAAAAAAGAAAGAGGTCACTAACTCGCTGTCTTGAATGTGTGTTAAAACTTCCACTCCTCAACAATAACTCAACCATGACTGCTATAAAAATTGATAGGGGGATAGATACAGGTATGGTAGTGACAAGCTAATTTTATTGTCAAAACATTTTTTTTATTGAGAACTTCATCTATAAAATTTATTCTCTGCAGGAAAAGGATTGATGGAATCAAAGCTTTCTAAATCCTAATGAAACCTGTATGTATGGCCTATAGCAACAGAGCTTAGGTTTGTCTCCACATGGATGGTTTACCACTGCCAATTCCCTTCCTGTTTTTTCTGGCAGATAGATTCTTTTAGAGACTGGGCAAGGCTGTACATGGCAATAGGGGAAAGATATTTGGGTAAACGTCAAATCTTACAACCATACACATTGTCCTATCATTCAATCTTCTGATCTTGTCTTACTTTTGTTGCACTTATGTACATCATCCTCCTGCTCTCAAAAGGATAACGCATAAGGTGCATTATTGAACAGTGCTTGTCCTTCTTGCTGTGTCTCCAGTCACCAGTGACCATTCTCCTCACATAATAAGCAAAGGAAGAGATACTACATCCTACAGTCTTTGTACGGCTATTTATCTCTTTGTCTCAAGTTTTCTCTCACAGTAGTACAGTAGCATAGTAGTACTACTTAATATTGAAAGGAATTTCCTCACATACTGAAAAGTAAAAGTGCACTTCCCTCTTGGATACAAAATGGTGTAGGGGGGATATACCAGGTGAGCCAAAAGAAAGGTTACACTTAGAGTTCCATGTTAAAACAACAATAACAATATATATTGAAATAACAATTTATTTAAATAAAAAAGCTCAAAGTAAATTTTCAAATATGTTACCATCACATTCCAAACATTTTCCCATGTGATTGGGCATGGACATACAGACTTTTTTTTTTTTTACACAAGTTGTAGTTAAGTGTAACCTTACTTTTGGTCCACCCAATATAATTAATTTTTTCAAAAATAAAATTAAGCGAAAGTAGTGAATGTTGAAATTGCAAGGAAAGACATCATGACAAGAGTATCCAATAACTGTCTGGGCATCTTATGACAAAATCCCCATTCTTGATAAGGAAATCACCATGATGACTGACTCATCCTCATCATGTTGCCCTGATTTAAAGGGGTCCACGGGAGGCTGTGTTCATAAAGATACAATGCCAAATGTGACAATCCTGATGAGGGCAGAAAGATACCAGTAAAGAATGAAGACATCAGTCTCATTCAGCCACTCAGATGCAAACAAATAAAAAAAGATAAAATGATGAACTCACGAGTGACTTTGGCATCAGAAGGGTAACGGAAGCTGAAGATCCATTCCTCTTCCACTTTCAAGATGCGCCCTGTGATGCGGGCATAGTATTCATAATTTTCTCGACCAAAGAGGTTGCTCACACCAAAGCTATCAATCATCAGTTTCATGACTCTTGTGGCCACCTGAATGAAAGAATTCAGTTGAATTTTTTCACATGAAATTTCAAAGGGGTAATAATGGTTATGACTTTTCTCAGGGTGGGTTTACACATAGGGGAACACTCATTTGATACACCATTTCTAAAGATGGACTACATTTGCGAGTACTTTCCACAAAATGTTTCATCTCCATTTTCATGCAGGCGTATTACTGGGCAAGACACTATTCTGCAACTTCATGAATGTAGTGACACAAAACCTTAGCCTTCCACAACCTTCCATAACCTAAACAAATACAATAGAGCAAAAGAGGTTATATTTCTGAATCCCTCATTTGGATTGGAATTACATCTTTTGTTATTGGTACTTCCTCATGAGCAGTCAGGGTGGAGAGGCTAGGCTTTCAGCATGGTCAGGGAAGCAAGGTGTACCTTATCAACGAGAAAAGTCATTAAGCTATCAATCCAAATCTCTTTTTAATGAGGAATTCAAATATATATATGTCCAGCTTTGAACTAATTTACTTCACTTTGGTCATGAAAGGAGGGGGGCTAAAGTTGGTACCAACCTGTAGGTTTGTGTTACCCACCTCTAAACATGCATGCAACTTTCCTTTTAAACATGGCCTGAAGCTCTCACAAAAGTAAGTGGAAGGATACTCCATAGCAGGGGTGCTCAAAATTGCTGAATGCCTGAACAGTAAATTTCTCACCAAGGGTCACTCACCTAAAGCATCATGTAAAATTAAGAAATAATATCGGGTGAGGAGTTAGAAGCAAGCAACCAAAGGGGAATTTTTAAACAGATGACTAAAATAATCCAATATTACCAGGAAATATGGCATTATGAAGTGTATTACTAATTTTCCAAATTTTGAAATCACAAGATAATGCTGTCATTTAATAATATTCTATCATAGTTATCTTTGATTTTTTCCAAGCACGGTTGATGACAGCAACAGACAAAAGGAAACAAAGTCAAATGAGTTTTAAATAAGACTGTATTGCATAGATTAATCAACATTATAATTTTACAAATAAATCTATTGACATGGGAAAAAAACACTGAAACCTAACAAATTGTGGTACTGTTCCTTCTCACAGAGCAATCATGGTCACTTTGATACGCTCCTTTGTGATTTAACACCAGTTTGCTCATGTCAGTTCAGTAGTCTGAACAAAGGAATAATATGGATGGATACAAGGGGCTAAAACAAACATCATTGATAAATTGGAGGCACTCCTATTGAACAAACTCAGAATAGATAGATGAAGTGGATAGCAAGAAAAATGTAGACCAAGTTTAACAGTATTGTGCAGTATTTACTGCTACTAATGAAATTAAAATTACAGGTAATAGTGCACACTGCTTCAGTACAACCATGAGTTGCTACTACCAATGACTTTGGGTAAAGAGTTAGCTGTGCAGAAGTGTGGAATAGCAACAACTTGTAGTAGTAGGGGCACTCCAGTAGCATTGTTTTGAGTCAATCTCAGTCCAGGTTCAAGCAAGTCAACTATGTCCAGAATGTTTACTTTCATAATGTACTTTAATTAATATGGATGAAAGAAGACCCCGGGACCTTCTCAAAATTGTAATCACAAACCAGTATCTAAATATAATGCAGTATCATTGAAAGTTTATGTTCCAAGATTTGAAAAGAATGCAGTATTATCAGATAGTAATCAGTTTAAAAATCCATTTCAAATTATCTTTACTGGCCTTGTTTTATTGGAGAAAGCATTAAATGAGATTTGGATTGCACAACTTAGGAAGTAATTACATCTAACAGTGAGCTGGATCTGACCCTGGGACTGTAGTTTGAGCACACCTGCTATATATAGAGTGCACATTCCAGCACATTCTAACAGCTGGAACAGCAAGTCAAGCAGTACATGTGCTATGACAAAAGACCACTGAGAGTTATGATTTTCATCAAAACTTTTAGGAAAAAAAGATTTTTGATTAAAAAATAAAGAAAAAAAAATTATTTTGCTAATAACAATGCCAACATGGGAAAGCTTCTCTGTTGTTTGTCAACCACTATTTCACAGTGCAAAATTTGTCAAAACTTTCACATGATAAACAGAGACCATAAACTTCTGAAAATGAAGCAAAATCCTATTTGACACTCATGAATGTCCTATGTCTACCTGGTAACCAAAATTATAATAATATGGCACCTTAGTGTTAGGGTTAATGATTCTCAATTTCAAGGGTTTCACTACTTTGGCATTTTCTCTTACCTTCTCTTTTTGGATCAATTCATGGAATTTCTAAAAATGTTCATAATAGCCAATGCCAAATGTCACCATCAAATTCATTATTTCATGTTTATGATAGATATCCACAATTCTTCAGAAAGAGCTCTTGGGAAATTCTCTGGACTATGCATGATGACTAGTAAAACTAATAGGCCAATGACATTCATTTAAACATTTCTAAACATGAAGAAAAGGATATGGATGCAAAGCAATGTAAGCACATGCAGAAATGTACCAAACACAACAAATAGCCATCTTATCATGAGATAAGGAAGACAGACACATAAGAACATCTACTTACATTCACTTCAGCCTAAGAAGAAAGGCACGCACAAAGGGAAAGAATCAAGGAATCAATCAGATCACTGTCCTGATCAGGAAGATTTCACTTCATGTCATCTGCAGTCAATTTCAAATACTGCCACAAGAGTTACCTTCTTATTCACTTCTCATCCTCTAGGACATCAAAATAAGATCACTATTCATGGTAGGCTACCAAAAAAAAAAAACTCCCAATGACATGAACATGACAAGGCACATTCTCCAAAACTGTAGATGAATGAAATGCAATATCTAAAGTTGTGCATGCTCGTCATGAGAAGGATTCTTGGGTTGAAAGGTGGAATGCAAATAAAGTGCATGTAAGTATAGGTTCTCTAAGTACTTTGAACTTCTATGCATGCAGTTTTGACCTCCTTGCAGTCTTTTCTCCCAGTCAATGTATGTGTAATCTTTTCCATTTTTTACTTTCATGCACAGGGCTTTCAACATTACAACTTTCATTTTCATTTTTACCACTGTGCATGCTGTATACCAAATGCAGTACACTTTTAATAACCTTTTCAGCCACAAATTACAGACAAATTATTTAACACTCATATTTTTCTTTTTGTAATCTACAGTAACATCAAACCCAAACCAAACCTGCTGCTGCTGCTAGATAATTGCACCAATTAAGGAGCCATTTTGATTTCAGAGTGAAACTACCTTTCTAGAGCCATGCCACATATGCTATGAAAGGTGGTTACACAGCGAAACCACTCTAATCTAATAACTTTCTAATAAAATTATGTTTTTCACCTGTCCTCTCAAGGGCCATACAATGCTCAGCAACTTGTATCAAATCAACAATGAGTGGTTGTGCTGTGGCCTGCATACCATCCAAGCAAATTAATCAAATCACTCCAGATGCTTGAATGATTTAGTCACTTCTGATATCAGTATTTAATCTATGAAGTGTGCAATTTTTGAGGATGATGAAATTAAGCATTTTGCAAGGAAAATATGAGGCTAGGCATTCAAAAAACTAGTGTATTCTCCAGGTATGAAGGGGTAATAATCCCAATGAAACCTAAACTTTAAAATTTCCAAGGAAGCTTTCAGGAGCAGAGAAAAGAAGTTGCTCATACAGGAGGGATAAGTGGATGGAGAATGACAGACAAGGGCATGCATGTAGCACACTTGTCTGCAGACAAATTGTGGCAAAAATGAATACTGCTACTTGTGTTTCTATTATTTCTCTTATAGTACAGTTTGGTGCAGGATAGAAAAAATGGATTTTCTTCTCACAAACTTGAAGTGGCATATATGAAATTTTTTGAGGAGTGTAGTAATTTTGTTAAATGAATGGGAGGAATGAAACTAAAATCTGTCCTATGTAGCCATAAAAATGATCTTTACTGACATGTCTTCCATGTACAAAAGGTTTGACAGAATGCATGCAGGGAAACTATGAATGCCTCTTCTTTTGATGCTGCTCAATTAACAGAAATATGCTTCAAAACCAAGTTGTCACTGACATCCCATATATCAGATATTTTGCCAGTTCACAGTTATGACCATGCACCTCCATATGGAAAGATCATACATGGCAGTTATATAAAATAATCTGAATCAAATATATATACTGCATATGATCCATGTGAGACTTATTCATACATTAACCATTTCATGGCTGAATTAAGATAAATAACTCAAATTGTTTAGGTGCTTTTTCTATTGAACAGACCTACCTCAAAAGAAAGCTTGGAGAGAAATTCAAATATTCATTCATATATTAAAAAACAGAATATGATCATTACAAGAATCATCAGCCAAGAAAGGTCATATCACAGGTAAATATGAATGCTATGCAATAGTGTGAAAATCCTGGAGATACTTTACATCCGTCAGGCACAAGTGTAAATTGCACTTTAGGCATTTCATGAAAATGTAAGCATGTTTGTCACAAATAGTCAGTGCTGTTTCTCGTTTGACATCTCTGGCCAGTGCGCCATGGCATTGGATCACAAGCTACTAGGGGTTCCATCTTTTTGGAGTCTCTTTGTGGTGGTCATGTCTGTTGGGTCTCCCAGCTGTGTCCTCGTCTTCAATTTCGCGTCACAATGAAAAAATGGATGGTGTCACTTAGCTAGCAGTTCGATGCTGTGCTGCACTGACCAGCTTGTCAAACAAGCAGAACAGAAAATATTGGGCAAAATGTGCTTACATTTTCATGAAATTCCTGTGTGCAATGTGGACTTGTACCTGACAAAGGACAATAACTTTTTCAAGGATTTTCATGCTCCTGCATAACATTCATATTTACTTATTAAATTACTTCTCTTGGCTGATGATACTTGTAATGATCATATTCAGTTCTTGAATATAGTGTTTCAGGAATGACTTTGACCCCATTAACATGGGCTCCATATTTTTCAATAGACCCTATTGGTGGCTCAGTAAAGTAGTACTTCTAACACATGCAATATATGTCCCTTCAAGCAATAGAGGCATAATCGAGTCCTCAATCTTGCCATAAGACAGTGGTCAGCAAGTCAGTGACCAGTGTCGGAGTCAAAAAAGTATTATGTGCAAAGCATATTGCACAATCATATACAGGGTGTTCCATTTAAAATGCAACCCAATAACAATCATGTACTATGGTACAAAAATGAAGTCTTGTCTTGTCTTCAAGAAGGTGGTGGACATTTTCAGCAATCTGCTGTGAAGCTGTTCTGTACATTCCTGTAATATTCTTTCTAATGAATAAAAACTATCAAACAACTCCTTTGTCTTGTTTTATTGTTGTTGTACTTTGGGTTGCATTTTAAATGGAATACTCTGTATTTCATTCTGTATGTATAAAGTAATTAGTAACATTTTAACAAGTTTGATTGAAGAAAGTAGTTATTTCGATAAAAATCTTACCACTCATTACGGAAGTGCTTTCCGCATCAAATATGCATCAATTATCATTGGAGTTTTTTTCTCCATGTTTTTCTTTCACTCTTAAAATATCTTTATCAATGAAAATCTCACAATCCCATGATAAAGTCCATAGCCCATCTACTGTACCAGGGAGGAGGGGGGGGGGGGGGAGCAAGAGAAGGACTCATTGTGTCCTTCCAAGTCCCTATATTTACTTGTCTTTTCCATTTTTTTTAATGACCCCTGCTGCCAGATAGTACAGTTTCAGCCCAAGTTGACTTGAATTCCAGAAGCGTTTCGAATTTTTGTATTAAACACTAATAAGCACATCATTAGTAATGATGATAAAGACAAGATGCCTCTCACATCACTGCAGGCAACAGTGCCACAGAAAGGGGGTAGGGGGTTAAAGCCAATCCAGAAACACTGTATATGAATAAGTATTTGAATTTTTTTGCAAGCTGTCTTCAGGTAGGCCTGTTCAATAGAAAAAGCACTAAAAAAATTTAGAGCTATTCATCTTAATTCAGCCATGAAAGGGTTAATTAAACTTGAAGTCCCTACATTCCAAAGGGAGCAATCTAGAATGAAGTGAACATATTTTTTATTTATTAACAATGTTTTTCATTTGAACTGACACTTACATATTAGCATGCCACTTTTCATAGTGCCTCATATATATAGGGTGGTTCACAATTGTCTCTCCAAAAGTGAAAGCTTATTTCTCAGGAAGAGTGCATTCAATTTCAATGATATATGACTCAAATGATAGCCGATTCAATATATTTTTGCTGTAAAAAATGTCAGCATTCCATAAGAAACTAGAACACAGTTACACCATAACGAGTGAAAGAACCCATATAGTGCAACTAAAGCCTGTAAATATCACAATCCCCTCTGAAATTTGAAATTCATTTGTGGGTTTTTCATGCATCGTGAGTGTTTGTCTGTGTCATGGGTGACTTCAGTATCCTGCAGAATACAAACATTGCCATTTGGTTGGATAATATAATGAAAGTTAATTTGTGCAGGGAAAATTGGAAATTTCTTCAGTTTGGGTCCAAATGCCTCAGTTCCTGATGAAGGCAATACATAAGAAGTTTCTGAGTCTGAAGAGATTCATCGGCAGACCTATGACAACCTAGATATGCTGAAACAGGCCATTAGAGATGCCTTCACCACAGTAGGGCCAGAGATGATTGAAAGAATACTGCTGGCATTCAAAGAGAGACTGCACCAAGTCATTGAAAATTGTGGATTTCATATTGAACACTAGTGATTTGGCAGCTTTCATTTGTAAGGATGTAACTTCGTTCTAGTTTCTTATGGAATGCTGAAAATTTTTACAGTAAAAATATATTGAATTGGCTATCATTTGAGTAATATATCATTGAAATAAGATGCATATTTCCTGATTAATAAGCTTTTACTTTTGGGAGACAATTGTGGACCACCCAGTATAAAATGACATCCTTCTTGTTAAAATCTTTTGTGTGGAAGTATGGTCACTGTCAGTAGCTTCTGCTACTGACAATGCCAACTTCTGCCAATAGGAGCGACATTGAACTGAGATCAAAGGCAAAAGTTCTTATGAAGAACACCTTTGGCAGAATATGTTTGTCTGTTTGCAAGCAGGTTAAGAATGTGGCAGCCATAGGAAGTTGCTTCCCATTTTGAGCCAGTGAACTGAACTCCTCCCAAGAATGTTGCTTTGAGTAGCCCCATCAGGAGTCAAACAGCCCAGGTAGTGCAGTAGGAGTACTCATATTTTGTGAAAGAAGCAGAATTGAGAGCTTCCTTGGGGAGGATAACCTCTCTCATCCTTATCATTCCAAGTCACCATAAGCTTACATGATCTAAAATGTAAATTTAAGCCCTGTATTGGATGCTTCAAACTTGATCTTCATGAAAATAAGACTTGGTGATTCAACAACCTTGTCTGTCACTGTGGGGCTGAATGACACCTGAGGCCAGATGTTTATGACCTTGCCAAGAATTCAAGGCAGCCATAAACTATACCATTGCTAACTGCAAGAGTGCAAGGAAATGAAATGGTCAATGAAAATTTTCATGATTTCCAGCTTAGTTTATGATTTGCCAAAATAGGCAAGAATATTATAATTCTTTAAACTCCTGTGAATTGTATGAATGAAGTTGGTTTTTCATTGGTTATAATTTGATTAATTGAAAAAAAAATCCTTTGAGAACTCTTGTATAGGAAGATTTCAACTGTGAAATGGCCAATATAAAAAAGAATGCCTGGGAGAAATTCCTTCCAGAGGATATGATGCAGAATTGGTTATCTTACCAAACAGCATTATTAAGGAGAGTAATGAGAAAAATAAATTCATAATCCATGAGAGTTCTACTACTGTATACTTGTTATGTGACTGCATTCAAGACAAGCACTATGCAAGATAGTGAAGGAGGAAGCATTCCATCTCCAAAAACATGTGGATCTAGGCAAATGGAATTATATTAATCAAAGAGTCACTTGCAAGATTCATTAGAAAAAGGTGTAAACAGTCACAAGTTAGCCTGCTTAGAAAAAGGAGAAATGCATATTTTGACCATTTCATGCAACAAACTGTAGTTCCCAGTCAAAATATTGAGATGTGAATGACTTGTTCAACAGACCTTGAAGCGCACCACATCTTCCATTCGTGCATGCTTTCCTCCACTGACACAGCTCTGAAAGAACGAGGGCGCAACAGAGACTCCAAGGGCCTCAGCAGTCATTCCTGAGTGGGAGTCTTCGGCCTGCATGGCAATGGTTCGAAAGGTACCAAAGAGGAGAACCAAGAGCCTCTGAGCCACCACCGGCATCCCCATTATCAGCCTGAAATATTTTAGCCATACAATCTCTTGGCACCTTTCATAAGCTAATTCCACATTCAATATGACCTAGACTATGGAGACCCCAGTATAGGTGATAGATAGTTAACATTCTGTTTCATGTTATAGACCATATAGCACACTTACTTATGGATATCTTCCCACTGCTGTTCAAGGGTCCCAGACTGAATAACTTCAAAAAGCCGCTGCTCCATTTCATGCCCAAAGATCCCTTCAGGCAACTTCCTGAGAAACTTCTTCAAAACAGATGCTATTGTGTACACGGAATAATTGTCCAAATTTACAAGTCGACCATTCTGCAAGAAATGAATAAGTTTCTTCATGTTCCCTTGATGGCCAGGGGCACGAAATATATCCTTCTTATATGGACCCTCTTTGTTCACTCTCAATATCATCACCTGAAATGATGCCATGCATAACAGTTACATATGACATCTGCATCAAATTGCTTTCCAAAGAAATGAAATGGAAGGGGGGAACTTACAAGCAAAGGTCCTGGAATGTCATTGCGACAGACATCTTCAAGAGGAACACCAAACTTCACCCTGTGAGATGATAAAGACACATTAAGTAAAAGAAAAGATCATCATGTAAAGCAGTCCTATCTTGAGGTCCAGGAAACATACAAATTTGGTACAAACTTTTCAATGCGCCGAGGGTAAGGAGCACTAGTATGTCCACATGAGGTGACCACAGTCCCAATAGATGCAGCCCGTCGATGCATCCTCTCAGCCCAAGTGGTCATCCTCTCTCTTTCGATCTCTTCCTCCGTCATAGGAGAAAGGAGATCCTGGTACTAATCAGTGCCAGTGCTCCTGAGCACTTGGCTGGATGATGAGATTGCCGAGGCAATGTTTCACTTTATTTCACATGGCTGGCATGGCTTTGCAGAAGTTTCTTTTATGGATGAAGGTTCATAGGCCTCAGGTGGGAAAGAACTGCATGACATTTTCTTAACTGATATTAGTGTTATTTGGGCCTATACATCAAACTCACAAGGACAACAGCACAAGCTCACTCTCTGGCATCATCCATTCAATCAGCACATTCTAACCTGCTCAAAATAGATCACTTCATTGCCTTAGACTGATCAACATATATTTTCCAGTTGATATTTTCTCAATTCTTGATCAAAGCACAGCTGTAGCTAATCAACAAACTCAGACCACAGTAATCAATAGTATTGTCAAAGGCAAGTGTAAAATCACATGAAGACCAACTCAAATGAATAACTAAGCCTATTCCATATCAATAATATAATTTTACCCACCATTAAATAACTTTGCAAATAATTTTGCATTGATCAATCTCAATGAAGAATATCAGAAAAATCAGAAGTTAACAGTCTGTCAAAAGGCCAACTGAATTTTCCCTGTAGTTCTCCCAAGTCTAAACTCAGACCTTATGGCAACAATGGTCAGTGCCCTAAGCCATGCTTACTGTGGGAAGTTAGCTGCAGAGGGTGAAAACTGATTGGTGGTTTAAATGGTCCTTCAAACCTGGCCATTGGAGATTATCATGAGTGGCCAAGGGCTCAGGTCCTCAAACTGTTTCCCTTCTCAAACAGATCCAGTAAGGCATACAAGGTATAGTGACTAAGAACGTGTTGGCTAGGTTGTGTTGCCAAAACATGATGCATACAAGATACATGATGAACCATGTATCCTTTTTTGGGTAAGAAGAGGGGAATGGAAATGCATGAAGATATAAATTGTTTTGTTGGTCAAGAAAGGTAACTTGCATCTAGTCAATACATCAAGAGAAAGTGAAATGGGCTCAACAAAAGTTGAGTTCTGCAGGTTTTAAATAAAAGCACGACTGGACACAAATTGCAATTTAACACCTGTTTTTATAAGCCAAATCAAGTAAACAAGCAGATTAGTTGGAAAATTTGTAGCAGGAAGGTGGTATAAAAGACAATCAACAAATTTGAAACTCTTTGAACTTGAATACACATACTTTCTTATTTCATCAAATTGAGACGCTCAGGAGGCAAGCTCAGGTCTTTCTTTGAGGCATAGTCAGTGACCTGAACCCTATGCAGCAGATAGAGTGCAAATGGACCAAGAAGCAATGGGAATCATCAGTGTTGCTATAGATGCTGAAGGCAGTAGCACTGCTGCTTGTCAAAGGGAATTTTATCACAGTGCTCTTCATTTGGGCCTCTTCCTTTGCTGCTGATCTTTTGAAAACTTTTATATTTCAATTTTGCCTTGGCAACTCTTCAGGCAGTAGGCAAGAGCATCATTTTTTCTCAGGCAAACTTGTAGAAACATTAAATCTCTCTCAACTGCACACAAATGCAGAGTTTCCTATTTTGCATTGCCCCCTTCCAAGTCGATTATAATATGATGGATGTTCATGAACACCCATCATATTATCATGTTATATTCTATACATGTTAGTTTTAGACTGACAAGGAAACGAGTTCGCCCACCATTTAAATGCAACTAACATTTTTTGGCATTATGGGCCTACCAACACCAAAAGAAATGTTTCTGCAGGTCTTACATATCATGTCTAGTTCATCTAATGAAGACCAATGTGAGTGGGCCTTCAATAGATCAACTAGAGTCGAAACACCAGCAGCGTCTGCCTCGTCATGGGGTGTACACAATTATCACTAAAAGATAGTTGTCTAGCGTTGGTTCAATTTTAGTCCAGTTAGAGTGCCAGCTGATACTGGAATGTGGGCAGTTAAACGCTGGCTCAGTTTCTGCGAAATGGCCATGAAATATGCTGAGAAACTTACTTCATATGACAACCTTACTTTCATCTAGTTTCAGTAACCTTGAGTTAAACTACAACTAGTTGGATGAGAAACACTGTAGGCCCAGCCCAGCTAATGTTTGCAAAGAAGATAACTAACCTAGTACTACCTTATTTTCCTACAATTTACCATTACTTACACCAAATGAATTCAAGTTTTACCTACAAACGTTCTGTTCGGATTCAACCCATGGAGCTACTACATTGGCTCATTTGTTCAACATAGACTCTCTTCGTCGGCAGCCATGGACAAATTCGACGGCCGGACGCGCGTATTCGAATGTTTGTATACAATTTCTTTTCCCTGTGGTTGTCGTTATGGAATTTCCATTAATTTGCTAGAATATGCATTTGCAAGCATGATCTTTGAACTTGCAATACTAAAAAATGGACAAGAGGATTTATTTGACATTCCTGAGGCCATCAGTTGTGGCGTTCGTACTTACCACAATTCTGTGGCTCTCATAATTATTGTTTCGAAGCTCGAATCTCGACCCATACAGCACAGGTATATCCCAAAGATATCTCCTTGGGACAAGTGCGATGTCCCAGAGACGAGTAGGGACCCAAAGATATCCCAAGGATGTCCCTTTCTTGAAGAACTAGCACATCCCAGAGATGTCCCAGGGATATCCCCTTGGGACAAGTGAGAAGTCCCAGATAGTACTTGCAGGTGCCTTCCTTTCTGCGGCGCAATCATTTCCTACCACCCAGGACAACTCTACTTTCGAAGATGTCTCTATTTCACCTAGGAATACCTAATCTGAAGTTCTTGACCAATTTAGAGAGCAATGATTTAGAGCAAGGAAAACTTTGTTCCTGAAAAATCCAAATATGAAAAAAGGAAAAAAAAAAGACTTGTCTCCAAGTGAAACAATTTAGCACTCTCACACGAGAAAATATGGAAGAGGACCTTAGGCCATATGTTCCCTGAAACGCGTGGGCTCAGATCTCCAACCAAGATAGTTGTATCCAGACATGCTGATCAGACATCATTAATGAGAATATAACGGAATAAATTGAAATTCGGACCGCAATTTTTTCACTTTCTCAAGTGGCAGTTTTCCTGATGTACGGTACGAAAATCCTCACTTATCCTCAGGACAAATCAAATAGATCGTTTTGATAGAAAAGATCTGAGGTTGAAGATCAGGGCTCATGGGAGACATCTACCTTCGAAGGTATGCTCTGACTGAAGGCGACAGAGCATTAAAGACGCCTTAAGACATCCCTAAGATATCCCGAAGACATTCTCCTCAAAATATCAATAAGTGTTCGACAGAAGATGTATTCAAGATATCACCTACGGGATATCCAGAAGCATTCGACTCAGGATGTCTTTAAAATATCCCGAAGGGGACATCTCTAAGATATCGATTAAAGATGTCTAAGGGTGGATTTTTGAACAGGAACTATCCTATAATACAGTTTTATTCCAGGGAAAATACATAATATTTCCGGTAGATAAAGCTGCATTATCGGATAGTTCTCTGTTCCAAAATCCGCCCTAAAAGACGCCTCTAAGATGTCCCGAAGACATCCCTTACGAGATATCCGAAACTGTCCGAAATACCACAAATTCAGGATATCCTATAAAGGTCATGGGATAAGAAGTCCAGATGGGGACATCCCTGGGATATCACCGTGCTGTGCGAGTTCTTTTCTTGTAGAGTGGTGAACGCATGGAATGCGTTAGACGACGACCCAAACAGCATGTTTATGTTAATTTTACGTAAAATGAATGTAAATTTTTAAAATCCATTTTATATCATTTTTACGCAAACCATTGTCAAGAAAATGTCAACATTTTTGCAGAAATGTCACCTCTGTGATACATAAACGGTGATATAAAATTTTACGTAAAATTGACATTCCCGTTTGCATTCCAAACAGCATGTTTACATTCACTTTACGTAAGATTGATGTTAATTTTCTCCTAGCATTCATGCGTATTTAAAGAGTACAATCAGTACCCTTGAAGAGAACTGATATACTGAATCTCCCATTCCTTTACGTTCTTCAGAACTCTAGGGAGGTTGGACGAATACACGAGTACTCATCCTCACCAGCACTCAAGAGTACTAAGTAATCTACTGCTTCCTCCTCCTGTACCGGAACCTCGGGAGGAGAGGATGTTCAAGGAGCTCTCTCTCTCTCTCTCATTTAGGATAGTGAAGATACAGTACTTGTAGGACTAGGATTCTACTCTTCCCTAATCCCGTGCACTGCTGTAATAAAAAGCTAACTTCAGCATTTAATGTTTCCTTGAGTCATATATTATTAAAAAATATATAATACAGTGAAAACTCGTTAACTCGAATCCTGATGAGTTTGGGGATTATCCCTCCCTAACATTGCTCCAGCCACACCCACATGACTCTCAAGGAATGCCGAATCCAGGAAATATAAAGTTATGGCTCGCCAACCCTAATTTTTCCGATGACGGAAATTTCAGTTAAGAATGACGGATTAGGGACATAAACGTTGTCGATTTCGTCTGTGAGACCTTCGTTATAACCGAGTTCACTATAACCGAGGTAAATTGTAACGTGCCTTATGAGCTCTGCGCCGGGACCTGGTGCTTTCGTCGTTATAACCAAGTTCGACTGTAATCATAATAATTTGCCAGCCTCCGAAGAGTAATAGTAAAAAGCACACACCGAACCTGTGACAGATGTATCAGTAGGACGCTATCCTCTTAGCTGCAGAAAGATCTGCCGGGAGATCGACTCCTAAAAGGTCATCATCGTCGCATTCGTCTCAATATTTTTCAATTTGCTACCAAAGGGTCTTTAGAACTCTAGGGTGGTTGGATGAGTACATGAATACTCATCCTCATCATCACTCTAAGAGTACCAAAGTGACCTGCTGCTTCCTCCTCCCGTACTGTAACCTCGGGAGAAGTGGAATGTTCCAAGAAAATCTCTTCCTTCTAGGATAGAGTAGGTGTAGTACTTGTGGAGCTGGGATTCTACTCTTCCCTAATCCCGTGCATTGCTGTAATAA